TTCTAGAATTATTTTAATTAAATACATTTAACTAAAATTTATTTGAATTATTTGAGTAATTATTTAATTGCTGATGTTAATTCTAGTTTTAATTATTTTCATGTTTAATTTTTGTTTAATACATTTTTAATATTAATATAAATATATTTTTATTTAAAGGTATTTTTTATATAAACTATTAAATATATAAATATTTGATAATCATATCTGAATATTCAGACACTTTAATCATCTCCATATGAGACATTTTAATTTATTTTGGAGTTTTAAATGTCAAACTGTTTTAAACTGTCGTCGTATTGGACATGATGTAAAAGTTAGTATAAATATGATTTATGGGGATTTTCCACTAATTAACAAATAACTAAATATGTTTTGTATGTATAAAGTAAATATTGATTTCTGATCGTGTAGCAAAACAAGCGTTCTAACATTTAATCAATGTGGACAAAGTTTGAATTTTTGTTTATAATGGCAAAGATATTTAAAGCAAAAACACTGCAAAGATGTTTACATCTCATATGACGTTCTTGAAATTAAATGTCATGTTCAAATGATGCTGATGTTAAAATCCTGATGATTTTTAATTCCTGGACTTCAAGTCAACAGAAACTAACTGTCACAAACATTTCCATAAATATTCAATATAATCAACAGTTTGTGACTACAGTTTATTTATGCAACATTAACTTTTGTTTCTATGTTGAATCAATAGTATTATACATTCATGTTTTGCCTGTTGAGGTAAATAAGTTTTGTTGTTTCATGTTTATGCAGTCAGATAATTACTGGATGTAGACTGAGGTCAAGATGAAATCCATTTTTCTCAGCAATACTTAATTTATTCCTAATTATTCCTGCTTTTGGCTTCATGTATGTTTATTTTTGCAAATTAATTCAGGTGTTACTGTTTGTGTGTGTGTGTGTAATTAAAGCTGGATTCAGATTTTTATACTGGACTGGTCATCATTACCTCAGAAAAAATATTTAATTTCATCATCAGTATTATCCTGAAACAAAAAAGTCTTTAAAAAATTTTGTAATCTTTTACTATATGGGATTGTAAGAGTAATTTTTGAAAAATTCTGAAATTTTCTAGAAAATAAAAGGAAATTTCTGAGTCCCCAAAATTAAAAATTTGCTAGAAAATCTTTTTACAAAATTTGAACATTTTCTCTAGAGAATTTCTGAAATTAATCTAAAAATTTCAGATTTTTTTTCTAGCAAATTTTTGACTCTTCACACTGAAATTTCTTCATTTTTTGGTGGAAATTTAATCTTATTTTTTTTCCCAAAAAAACTTAGAAATTGAGATTCTCAAATGTTCTAGAAAAGTTTCAAAAGTTGAACATTTGGTACCGGAAACTGAGATTAATCTCAAGTTTCAACAGGCACATTTTTGACTTGGAAATTTTCTGAGTTTGAAAAGTCAAAACATTTCAGACTCTGGAAACTCAAATCTCCCATGTTTTTTTTTTTTTTTTTGAAAACTTATTAAATCTCAAAATTTGAGTTTTATCTAACAAATGTGTGGCTTCAAACAAATTGTTTGACAGAAAAATATTTTCTTTTTCTACAATGGCGTCATCTATGGTGTCATATATTCCCAACAGTTTCATTCCCTTAATTATTTTGTCTGGTCAGAATGACGGAAACTGCGTTGCAGGAAGCTGTGAGCTTTAGGAGTACAGGCAAAATAACTGAATGCAAAGTGAAAGGAGACTTAATAAAAAACAATAAAGACTTTGATTCATAAATATTTTATGTACAAAATATTGTTACAAGTATATTCAACATATGTCACATTGGGATATTTATAATTACATAAATTTACTCGATTTCACAATACATACAGGAAAAAAAAAATCACAAATCTAGTGGATTTTGTGTACAATAAATACATGCTTTTATATTTTTACAATTTTGCTGTAAGCAGAGTGCAAGTGTTCAGCTGTCACTCCAGATGTGGCCGTAGGTCTTCAACTCACTGCAAACTGTTCGGCTTAATAAGGGCTAGGCGGATTTCGGCAAAATATGGGACTCTAGAAAGGCCACTTTTGTCTCAGAAAGAAACTGAAACACCAAAAAATGCGACTCGCTGAACACTCGCCATCCTTGGCATGTAGTCAGCGCACAGGAGCGCAAAACTAAACGATGTACGCCATTCGGTTTGATCAATGCTGCAGGTCTGTTAGAGAGATCGCAGTGGTGGGCACCGCTACCTAAAAAGCTAGCTACGCTAACCCCAAAGCTAAAATGCTATGCCAACAAGGTGTTCAGCAGAAGCTAATGCTGAATTCAACCATGTTTACACTCACTGTGTGACATATGTAACCCTGAACAGTCAAATTTATTACACAACTAGGACAGGAAATGGAACTGCTGCCTATACAGTCTTGACTTGCTTCAAAATAAAAGCATGAGTAAAAACCTCTGACTACCTGATCAATTCTTAAGTTGATAACTAAAACTTTGACCCAGATGCTGAACAACTGAAAATTTGCAAAAGAGCCAAGAAAAGAGCAAATATATTAAAATGCTAAATTAAAAATTAGCACTTCTATTAGCAGGTTAGCCAACGTGTGCCCACCACTGCAACACCGTATGAATGCATTTTAAGGTTACACCATCTGAATTGCTCTTCAGCTTGTGGAAACTGTAAATCCAGTGAAAAAAAACTAAAAGTCTCTGCCAGTGGTGAATCAAACAAACACCAGTTTACTGTAATCTTTCAAAGTAAACTGAGCTAACCTTGGCAGCTAACCATCTGTTTAAGGCTTTGTCATAAATGAGAACTTGCTACATCATCATAGTCCTGTATGATTTTTACACCATCAATCACCAGCCATTCAATGATTAAAAGCAACGATTGGAGATGACACACTTCCTGTTGGGACCATAATGAAAACATCTACGTTAAGACACATCTGGTGCTACGAGTGTTGATCAATGGATTTAAGCTGTAAAATCAGGCTTGAACCCAAAAGGGGAGAGAAGAAACCATTTGCAACTGAATTTTCAGACTAATTTACGAAGAGTTTTCTTTTATTATCCTCTCATATTGAGTCCAGTGTCAGAATAAATGGTGGTACTGATGGCACAAGAGATATTCATAAGGACTCTTAAAGCCTCAAAGCAGTTAAAAGGTGCATAGGTGCATTCACACCAGCCCTGTTCAATTCGATTGAATCCAACTCCAGTCCATTTGTCGAGAAAGTCCGGTTCGGTTGGGAGGTGTGAACGCTAACTGACCAAAAAAAAAGCAAACTCTGGTCTGCCGAAAAACCTGTTTCAGTTTGGTTGAAGTGAACTGTGGCGCGGTTCGAACGCATATGTGGATCCGAAGTGGACTGAAGACTGCTCCAAAACCAGGAAGTGGACTGCAGTGCAATGCATTCTGGATAAATGCAACCAAAACAAACACATTAGCCTAGCGTTAGCTGGAGAAATGGCTTGTTTTTTGCCAGATAAAAGAGAAATCCTAAAACTGAAAAAAATCTGATGCCACTCCATGTTTGTCTACATTTCATGAAGAAGGAAGTGACGCTCAGTGTCTTCAGAGGTTCTTGTGTCGTTTCACTCTGCGCTGCCCCCACAGGCGAGGAGGGGAACGGGTTTTTTCGATCAGTTTGGATCATTTGACACTGAAAATTTAACAAATGTTGAAATTTTGGTTCCCAATCAAATCGGTGTTTAAACACCCTGAGTTGCCTGTTATTAAACAGACCTGCTGTTTTTTCCTCTTAAAAGCGTTTTTTGTAATTAGCGTCCACTGCTAGCTGGCAAACATTTGTTGTGGGATTTTAAGATCTTTGAAAGTGCGCCCTTTAAATTATGTTTAATAAGTAGCAAGTTGAATTGCCATACAGTCAGTAGCTGCATTTGTATTACAAATGTGTGCAAATCTGTCAATTCACAATCAAAATATGAAATTAAAATCACTTGTGAATAAGCTCGTTCAGACGACAAATCATTAAAACTCATGGATGTAAACAGTTACATGAGATTTGTCGTTTCTGCCAGTAGTAACATCCGGTTGTTGATCATGTGACTTGTGATGCGAAATAAACAAATTTTAATAAAAACACCATCTTAGTGCTAAAACCTTTTCATCAAAAGTGTTTTTTTTTTTTCAAACTTGGCGTGTTAAGATAATCTATTTTCATTATTTCAATTTGCACAATTTTATGGTTAATGGAAACAGAGCTAGTGAATATTTTTCAAGGGGAAAATTGATTTCTTATAAAACTACATCAGTTCTGCATCTGATATTTAGGGACATTAGTAGCCTTTTTTTTTATAAATTGGTGTGTTTCCATTAAGCCAATGATTTTTCATGATATCAATTTGCACGTTTTTCGATGGAAACGCAGCGATCACTCAGTCCTGAGTCAGAATCGGCTCATCTGCCCTCCTCTGCCGGCCGAGTTTCGGACTTCAGCTTCACAAACTCCTTGGCCACCTCGTCGGCCGGCCGCTGGGACAGGATGCGCATCACCGTCAAGCCCGTGTCGTCGGTGTGGACGCGTGGCCCGAGGGGACACCAGCACACGCAGCTCTTCCTGTCGGCCACGTCTCTCAGCTGCAGCACGGCCAAGCCGACCACGCGGTCCGCCCGGCCGAAGCAGTAGTCCTTCACCGTCGCCTGGAGCTCGTAGCAGTCCGGGGACTCCTTACCCAAAACGCTGCAAAAGCACAAAAACGAGCAAATAAACAGAAACTAACGCAACGCATTTATGAACGCATGGCGGTACTTACAACTGGAAAGTCTCGTTGAACTTTGCGGTCCAGCTGTTGTTCTTAGATTTCGTGGTGAACTTTCGCTTCTTGTCGGCCATAAAGGGGCCGACCATGGAGACCTCAACAAACGGACGAAACATCCCGGAGGTCTGCCACTTCATATCGTTCACCGCAATGACTGATGGGACAGAATGCAGAAACAGGAAATTAACAACAAGAAAGCAAACGAGGAAAAGAACTTCAGCATCCAGTCTGTTGGACTGATGGATAAATTATTATTCATGAACCAACGTAAGAACTAGACAAGAACAAATCAGAATTACAATCATTTTCTCCATCTGTCGTTGTGTTTAGCGACAGATGTACATTTCTTTCCATTAATCAGGTTTTTTTCATTAACATTTCAAATTACTCATATAAACTTCAATGGCTGTTACTGAGCTTGTTCCTTTATGGACTGAAGCTAAAATTGAGTTGCTTTTTATCCTTTTTTTCTGTCTTGCTGTTAACCTTATCAGGTAGAACTGCAGTCCGTTACCATAGCTACCGCAACAAGAAAGTTACCAAAATAAAAGCATAGAACCTTATTGGTAGTTACAATTAGTACAGATATGCTAGTGTTAGCATTGGATAGGGTAGCAATTGGCAAGCTTAGGCTGGACGCCCTCTGGGTTGCCCACTTTCTCTAACATCCATTATGCTAGCATGAGCCCTGGATAGGCTAGCGTTAGCGTTGCTATCCAATGCTGGTCACACACAGATCATACTTTTCCTCTAAAGAAAACTTTATCTAGAAAAATGGTTGACATGCAACGTCAGCAACATACAGAGTGTGAGCGCTGAGATCTATTAAATATCTACTAAACATGCATACTCTTCTATTTAATCAAGAAAAGGGAGCCGTCTTTGCTGCTTCCTTCGTTTCAGAGGCTTTGTAGTCTGATTTTCAGTAAATCTGTTTAAAGTTTCGGAGGGTTAAGTTCTCACCCCTGACATTGATCTTGCGTTCCTTTCCAAGCAGCATGTCGACCTGCAGAACAGCCTCTCCGATTGGCTTCTCCACCCCAGAGCCTGAATCACAACCAACAATATCAATGTGAGTCACAACACGTTTATCATGGCTTCGGATACCCATTTTATCATCTTCAGTTCCCACTTTAAACTTATTAAATATCCTGTAGTCCCAACAGAAGTTGGTAAAAACAATGGAAAACAACAAAGACACTCTCCATTTTGCTGTGGTACGAGTTGAAGCTGGAAAATGTTAATCAGCAGAACAAAACAAACCATATGAATCCCCAACACCAATAAGCTGCAGAAAGCCTCACCTCTGTCGGGTTTAATCTTCTCATTACCAGTGATTCTGATGCCAATCCCATCATGCACTGAGACAACAACAGATAAAACAAATAGATGATTTTAAGACAAATAAACCACACAACCAGCGTCAGACACATGCGGAGTGTGTGGGATCACCTTGGGAATGCTGCGTGGTGACGAAGGTTTTGATTAGTGCGTCGGTGCTCTGAGAGTAGAGAGAGAGAGCGTAGCGCAAAGAAGCTAGCTCAGGACTTTTCTCCACGAACGCCTTCTTGAGCCCGTTTCCTCCAGCGTGAAAGTATTGCTGATTGGCAACAGAGGAAGGAAACGTTTCATTATCTTACGCCATTCTGTCAAATACTGTAAATTAGTCTACAGTGGCAGAAGGTTACACAAATAAGGTGGTGGTTAAATTCATAGTCAGCTAATTGTATGGCTATGTTGAGTGGGTTAAAGTATACACATCCCATTTTATTGTATTTTTCTATTGAAATTTCATGTAAAACACCAACTGTGAATACTTTTGTAAGGCACTAGTTTCTTTCTAATAATGTAAAATTTTAGTTTCTGCAGCAGCAGTTTTTATTCATAATGCCAATTTTGTTTTATTTTTACACTTTTTATTTGTTAAAAAGTTACATCAATAATTGCCTGACTAAATTAATGCTAAAAATGGGTGAAAAAAATTGGGTTTGAAATATGATCAGTGAGACATCTCTGATCAAATTTCAGAGATGTCTCACTCAGAGATGTCAGTGAAGAGTCAAAAACGGGTGAGGTGGACGGCTGCGTCTGGAGATCTGGTTTCTAATCTGTCCTCTCACTGTGTTTCACCAGTGGTCGAGTTCAGAATGAGGATTTGCGGTACAAAATATCTTTGGCATGTAGAAACTCGACTGAGTGAGTCCTCTTAGCACCAAACTATCTTTGATGTGTACTTGTCCGGTAACCATGTCAACAAGAATTCTGGCAGTTATGAAAAAGTAAATGGCTCTAGAACATTCTGAATGGACTTTATGGCTTTTTACCTTGAAAACTTTCGTCTATTTGAGCTTTTATGTGTTTGAAAAACACTTAGACATGTGGTTGATTATTTAGCTAGTAATTACTTTTATAATATTTCAGTTTCAAAATCGTTTTGAGTGCAACAATAAAATGAGTGTATGATTCACTTTTTCCTAAGCGTTTTAAAATAACGATGATAGACGGATAAATAACTAAATTAAATTCCGAGCCCTATCTTAGGTCATTAGGAGTGTTTGTTAAACCTACCTTGATGGTCTCCAGTCCTGCATCAATAATCACACATTGCTTAGGAGTCAGAGTTTTAGCTTCAGCTCCTCCCTGGAAGAACAGACAAAACGTAAATAAAGCAACACTCAAGATGAAATCAGCAGATCCACAAGTTAGAAATGCAGTCAGAAAATTAGTTATCAGAATGAGGATTTACAAGTGAGGTGTTCAAAGTGCGGTCTGGGGGCCATTTGCAGTCCCTGAACTGATTGTTTCTGGCCCCTGATTTCAGTTCAAGAATGATACAAATTTACTCCAGGTGGTTGCCGTAGATGGAGACTTTTTATTTTTAGTTGGGGCAAATTTAAATTTTACAATAGAAAATGTTAGCAACAGCAGTTATTTCTCTGTCCCCAGGAAGAACAACATCGAGTTACTTTTACTCAAAAGCTGCCTTTGCTGCCCAAATCTGCTTTTAATTAATTACTAAAATAAGCAAACTTGTTTTTTTCTAGAAAATTTATAGGATTAATCTAAAAATTTTGGAGTTATTTCTAACAGGTGTTTGAAAAAAAAGAGAAAAAAGAGTGGCCTAGATCCTGATTTTATTGTTCGGAAATGACTAAATTTTGTTCCAAATGTTTGAACACCTCTGCCTTGTGAAAGTACTCACACTCCATTTATTGCATTTTAATTTCTAGCCAATCAAAGAAAAGCAGTGTGAATTAAAATGTCTATTTTGAGGCTTTTTAATTGTATCTATCAGCAATTTATTTATTTTTATTCATCAGTAATTATTAATAAGGTCTAATTAGGCCCCAGGAACGTGTCAGAGAAATAAATGCCTCTGATTGAAGCTTTGCTACCTTGAGATTAGAGAGTCCCTTCGCTGCTGTGAGGAGCTGAGCTCCCTGAAAACAAACAGAGAAAAAGATTTAATCTGAAAGTGATTTATCCCAAACACACAACCAGACAACAGAGAGAAAACACTTAGAAAAACCTTTGTAATATCCTGGAAAAGCAAAACAGTGACTGACAGCCACCAGCAGGGGGCAGCACAGCCTATGACTTACACTTCATACAGGTATAATGCTATGAAATAGGAAAAGAAACATAAAATTTTACTTTTACTCAATTTATTTACTATTGATAAATTAATACATTCATTTAGCATAAAGCAACTTGATACATTTGACTGCCAGCATGCAAAATAACATTTTCCTGAATCTTTATGAATGTTTGTCTGTTGTCATGAGGCTTCATTCAATAGACATTTTGCAAAGTTGCATTAAAAGTCCATTAAAAGTGTAAATTTTACAGTAAGTGTCATTATTTACCAAACAGTCAAACCTTCATGAAGACTTCTTCATGTTCAGTGTTATGCTCACCTCTTCACATAAAGTGTTACCATTTCAACTTATGTTTTATAAAAATGAATGAAAAAAGAGATTACATTAATAAAAAACAATCTGATTGAAAAATATATTAATTTTAATGTTTCCATTTTTTTCTCATCCTCCCTCCAATGCTCTGAGGCCTCCACTTTGAAAAACAGAATCTTACAATAAAAACAACTTTTACTGTAAAATGATGAGTTTCATTTAGCTAAATATGGTTCTAACCTGATTTTCATTGTCGTGTGAAACCTTTTCTCCTCTTATAATTGGCAATTTGTCTGGTGCATTGTAAATAACAAGGGAGAAAATTATAGTCCTGCTGCTTTGATTCTGGAGGTTTTTATGTATAATTTTTAGAATAAATCCCATTATCTGAGTGGTTTTGTGAGTCTAATTTCCTCCAGGTCAGAGTTTCTCTCACCAGGCTGTCGTTGCTCTGAGGAAGGACGACGATCCGCTCCAGGCTGCTCAGGACAATCTTCCACAGATCCTTCAGGATCCTCTTCAGCACTGTTTTCTCACAGATGCCAGCGAAAATGCTGAGGCTGGATCACAAATAGAAAACATGGCAGTTTAAAATATTAAATATTAAAGAAGTCAGTCTGAGAAAATACGCCAAACTGGCACAAATTAACAATCTACATTTTATTTAAAGATATTTAACCTTCATTTTCAATTATGAATGAAATTATTTGTTGTTTTGTTTGTAAGGCAGATGTGCAACAACATACTAGATTCATCCCAGAAATTTTCTAGAAAAAAACTCAGAAATTTCTTAGTTTGAAAAGTAGAAAATTTGCTTGGAAATTTTGAGATTTACCTCAAGTTTTTTTTAGTTTGAGAATTTGAAAATTTACCAGAAAAAAAAACTCACATTTTTAGAGTAATATCAGAAATGTTCTAGAAAAACAAGGACATTTTTCAAAAGTTGAAGATTTTTTACCTTTGAAACTCAGAAATGTCCCAGCTGTTTTTCTAGAAAATGTCAAATATTGATCTAAATTTTTTTTAGTAAATTTTTACCTTAAAACTCAGAAATGTCCTTGTTTTTTTGGGAAAATTTTGATGTGTTTTTCTAAAAATTCACTCCTTTTTTATCTACAATGGCTGTCATAATGAAATGAGCAGGGCTGGAGGTGGGAGATTAAGGGCCCGAAGGCTGGGCCAGTTTTGGTGCCTTATCCAAAAAAAACAAAAACATTTTACTCAGGAAAATTATGGTACATTATTAGTTGGCCTACACATAAGCAGGTTTAAAGTGTGACTTGTGAAATGGTTCCATCTGGGTCCCAAAAAGAAGTTCAATAAGTTAATAATTTTTAAATATTTGAGTATTGAATATATCCATAAAATGGTCCTACTCTACAGTAGATGGTGAGCATCTGGATGACTTACTTCCCATCCAGGAACTCCATTAGGGGCCTCAGCGTTGTGTCGGCGTCCGCCTCCGCAGTGTTGTGGTTGGGCGGGCCTTTCATCTGGTAGAGGATCTCCGCCATCTGTCGCATGCAGCCGTTTATACGATTCTGGAAACTGGAGGGGATTGAGTTAGCAAAACAGATTTTGTTTTGTTTTTTAACATTATTCACATTAATTTGGGGTTTAGGTCCGAACCGGGTCCTGAGGGTTGTTACCTTTTGGCGAACACGGCACTGAAGTTGTCCAGGACGGTGTTGAGCTTCACCTGGAGTTCGTTGAGGATGTTGGCTGCTTCAGTATCCAACTGCAACATGGTTAGAAACAAAAAGGATTAAAGAAATAAGCTAACAGGGCCGACGCAGTTTGGAGTCGGTACCTGCAGCCAGAACTGGGCTGCAACGTCACGTTCAATGTTGCTCAGCTGCTCCGTTAAGGAGACACTCCAGTGTCAGTTTTCATGATTTCAATCGTTTTTCCATTTTCAGCTCATACCAACATCTTTTTGCTCTTCAGAACATAAATATTGTTGTTGTAGGCCTGGAAAAACCAAAATCAAACTCCAGACTTTTCCCACCTAAATAAGGATTGTGTTTATAATAAATTTAATGGGATAGATTTAAGATTTAAGAAAAAATAGCAAATAAGTGTTAACAGAAAGCCAACTTCTGTGTTTTTCTTGTTTTTCCTGTACAGAAAAGAATATACAAGCCAAAACGAGCCAAAAATCATGGGCACAACATGAAGCTTCTTCATGGAAAAAACCCTTCACCATTAAACTTGGCCTTGAGCTGCTTGGTAGCAAACCATTAATAAATCTAGGAGTAAGAAAACTGCGGCTCATTTGGATGCTTTGCGTGCTCTCTGTGTTACACCAGTCAAAGCAGCAGCAGCTGGACGAATACAAGGCGAAGCGTCCTAATCAGTCTTTATTAAAAAGCTCCATCAATAACGCAGAAGAGCGTTATTAGCTAGCAGACACTGGGCACGCTGCCACAGAGTCTATATAAGCGGGCTAAAGCTTTACCTTCTTGCATTATAATTGATAAATGTTGGAGGTGAAAGGTCGGTCAACAAAACACACAGCTGTGTTTACGCAGAGTCACGTAAAACATTTTTATGGGCATGTAAACATCAAAGTGAAGGTCATGCACAGTTTTTCCATCATATGATACGATATTTAGGATTTAAGCTAGTATATTCTGCTTACCTTCACTGCTGGAAGTTTACTCAGTTTAAAGCAGCAGATTATAAGGACAAAACTGACACTGTCCCACTGCAGCTTCCCATAAAGGGCAAAACGAACAGGAAAGAAGCTTTTTTAACATTTACACAAGGGCTGAAACGATTAAGCAGATTAATCACGATTAAACGATAATTGTCGACGGAGCAATAATTAAGCCAAAACTGTATAAAAATATGCATATTTTACATTTAAAATAAATATGTTCAACCCAGAACTCCTGAGGTGGCGTAGATTTAGCTTCACTTGATTCAAATTCCTTTTTTTTTTTTTTAAATCTCCTCTTATTAATCAATAAAATAATCAACAGCTCAGCTCTGTACTGTATCGATAAGTTGATCAGATGTTGATGTCAGGAGTATTTGCATCCTTTGCTACAAATGATCAAACATTCACTAAAAGAATGCAATAAAAATGTTTATTTTCTTATTTACAAAAGAAATTGAGTTTTTTATGTATTTTCTAATATTCTGCAAAACAATAACAATGAAATTAAATAAAATCTGCAGACTGCAATGTCTGCAGATTGCAGTCTTGGATGGGATGGATCGATCAACAAAAAGCAAAGATGTTGAATAGTAAGCAGTGGGTTAATGTTTGAAAATTATCTAATTTTGCTGTATATGGAAAAAATCAGTTCACATAATCCCTGCTCTGTTACTATAACAAACTTCATAAATAAAAGTGCAGCAAAATCATCCTTTACCATTTAGTTTCGTACCTTCTTTGTGACCACAGCAGTGGCTTCAGTCTTTCCAGACAGAAAAATTAAGAAAATAAGACAATCAGAAGTATCACTTGATGACAGATGGGCACAAAGCGACAATAATTAATTCATGATTTACTACAATGTAAAATCATGAATTAATTTAAACTATCATTTTCACAAATCAAACTCACTGGGCGGGATTAAGGGACACCCTAACGTCTGGTTGGCCGCTTCCACAGAGACCCTGAGGTTTGATTGGCTGCTTCACAGAGAGAGTCAACGCAACGTCTTTGAAGTTTGCTACTGCTCTGAGGTGAATATTTCCACTGTAAGTGTGGAGAAAATCCCAATGAATTGCTATAATTTATTTACTACAAACTCTGGGTGAGCAACTCCAGCCTCTATATCTTTAGTTTGGTCTGAAATGTCGGTAAGAAGTTCACGGGATAGCGTTAGCCGCTGCTCGCTAGTGGGCGGGGCTAATGTTGATACAGTCGTCGGTGGCAGCTTCATCCATGCTATTATTATCGATATTTGATATTTCAGACCAAACTAGAGCTGTAGAGGCTGGAGCTGCTCACTAAGAGTTTGTAGTAAATAAAGTACAACTACTTATTGGAGATATTTATGCACTTTCAACTAGAAGATATTGACCTCAGAGTTGTAGTTAACTTTGGGGAAATTGTCTCGACTGTTTGAAGCAGCCAATCAGACATCGGGGTCTGTACAGGAGCAGCCAATCAGAGATCAGGGTCTCCGTTAGTCCCACCCACAGAGTTTGATGGATGAAGTTGACAGTTTAAATTGATGTGCTGTAAACACCGGAACATGAAAAATTTATTAAATGATGAAATCATTTTATCTAGCTTTTAATGAAAACATTTAATGTGTCATTCATTTTAGTAAATGAATGACGCATGTAAACAATTATTTCATCAGTTGTTAATTAGGTACTCTCCATGAGTCATATTCCAGTACCAACAATCTATATCTATCACATAAAATGGGAAGGAAAGATGATGTTCACTAAGCAAACAAACCTTGTTGACTTCGTCTTTTGACTAAAAAGCAAACCAAACAAAAAAATAAAACATTAAACAATGTTTAACCCTAACCATCTAAAGAAGCCTTTTCTCCCCGTTATGCTAGCAACAATTTAAAAGCACACTCAGCAGAGGTAAATAACGGACAAATAGATCCAAAATGGGTTTCTAGCAGCCACTGATGGTAGAATTAAGTTGAAATACTTCTGGGAAATGTGGGAGGAAACTGGGTCAGCAGACAGAACCATTGACCTGGTCGGCTTTAATTGGGTTTCAAAGTTATCGCACACGACGACATATAGAAACATGGACATCTTTACAGTTGATTTGTGGTTGTTTATTTGATCTAATAATAGGATATGGATTATGTTTTCCTCTAAAGACAATAAAAACTCTAAAAATCATAAATAAATATCTGTCCTTTAGTTTTTTTTATTATTTTAAGCTGGAAAAAGGAAAACAAGCTAAACAGTTTCAATTAGGATGTACAAGAAGAGCTTTTGAAATCTGTTGTTTTTCCTCTCCATTCAAATGTATAGAGTTTTAATCTATATTTACATTTCCTAATTTTAAATGCAAAGTCTTGGCATATAAATAAAGAAGTGAGCTTCTTCTGAGTAACTAGTGGTTCGTTTTCTTTTATCACCTTTTTTTCTTCCACTTAACTAATTAATAATGTGATTTAAGAACCCACCTCTTTGGTGTTAGACTCCTCCTTTGGCAAAAATGAGAATAAAAACATTCAAGAAGGAAGTTATTCAATATTTTCCTTGCACAATAAACAGATATATTTTATGGTGAGTATTAGGGCCAAGACTTTTTTTTTCATTTTGGGAATAAAGTCATAGGTTTATGACATTAATGTTATATTACCAGAATAAAGGCATAATATTATGAGAATAAAGTCAAAATAATATGAGAATAAAGTTAAAATTATGTGCAGCTACAGTCAGTGTTGCAAGAATAAGATAATACTATGAGAATAAAGTCATAATATTACAATAAAGTTGGAATAATGAGAATAGTTGTAGTCGTGTGAGAATAAAATTATACAACAAAGTCAAAATAATAATACAAGAATAAAATTGTAAAATCGCAAGAAAAATGTTTATTACCAGCAAAACGTTATAAGAAGGTTGCATATTAATGAAGTTGTAACTTTATAAGAATTCACCCACAAAAAAATAATTAGAAATCAAAATGATGAATGTTGAAAATCATTTGCGGTTATATATTGGTGTCAGTTTTACAAATGAAAAAATTCTTAATATTTTAATACATCAGCATCAAATTATAATCAGCAGCAGGACTTTGAGGCAATTGAGCAGACGACTGAGTTGGATTGTTAACTATCAAAGATTTTTCGCGTATTTTTCTACTTTCTTCTGGTAATTTTATGACCCAATTGTCACATTATTAAGATATATTCTAGTAATAAAAAAAAAATTTAGTCTGGCCCCAATAATCATGTTTCACAACTAGCTGAGGCGTTTTGTTTTAAGTTAAAACATCTACTGTATGTATTTAAAATAAGCTAATCATTAAGGGAAATAAGCAGCAAAACCTACCAGTCTAAGCTGTAACGATAAGGCAGTTCAAAGAGCATCGCATTAAAGAAACACTAAGAGGAAGTTTTCCTCAGATGGAGGTGAAATGAGATCACAAACCTGCTTTTCTTCGTCTTTCTTTTCAGCCTGTAAGGACACGTGTGTGTGTGTGAGCCACAGTTTCTACTTCACATCCTCACACACACTCTAAGCAAAAACAACATGCTGGCGGCCATCTCGTTTTATCACTTTCAGAAAGTTCACCGACCTTCTCTTAAAACAAAAAACTAATCAATAATGATTGATGGACTGATAAACGTTTATATTGTGCTAATTTTTTCAGCCATATCATCTACCCCAAAAACTAGCTAAAGATTTGTGAAATACTATCAGGATGAGGATTTAGAAGCACAAACAAACCTTTTCCTGTTTGATTTCAGACTGAAAAGAGATTGAAATAGAAAAAAACCCAACAGAAAATAGGTTCAAATCTTAAATAAAACCAAAAACAAATGTAAATGTCAGTTATTCTGCTTACAGCTCACCTTCTCCTGGTCAAGCTTTTGACCAAAGAAAGGAGGAACAGAAAAACATGACAGTTTAAATAAAGATAAGAGGAGGGAAATGGATTAGGGAGAGCTACTGTCCTGCAGCTTTTGGATGCAATCCTTCCCAAAACGGCTGAATGGAAGCAGCCATTAACCTGATCCAGCTGCAGAGAGACGCATCTGAAAGCTGCAGGAGAGACGCATCTGAAAGCTGCAGGAGAGACGCATCTGAAAGCTGCAGAAGAGACGCATCTGAAAGCTGCAGGAGAGACGCATCTGAAAGCTGCGTCTCTTCTGCAGCTTTCAGATGCTGTCATGCAGGACAGTGGCGCACGGAAACAAGAAACCTGGTCAACACAGGAAAAACAAGAGGATAATAATGATCCAATGTGAGGATTTCCATGAGCAGCAACGGTTGGTTAAATAAATGATGATGGGAATAAGGATGCAAGTTAGTTATCGATTAATGAGCAAATGTTATCGATTGACTAGATATTGGTTGATAAATAGACATTTTCTTAAAAAAAACTTTTTTCTCTTGTATTAAAAAAATCATGAAATTTCAACATTATTTTGTCTCAGTTGTATTTTCACATTCTCGCTTTCGTAGCAAATAAGTAATTTTTTGTTGAGGAGTTAACGCTCCTCCATCATGAAGCTCAGTTGAATTAAGCGCCATTAGGAGGAAAACTTTAATGAGTTTGTTGAGTTTTTATTTGAAAGAAGAAAGGCTAAAGCCTCTTTATGGCAGGAGATTAGGGCCCCTAAACAGAATTAGACATTTTTTCTCAGACTTCTGAGAAAAAAGTTGGAATTCTAATATTTAAACCAAAATTGAGAAAAGTCAAAATTATGGAAAAAAAAAAAAAACAAAGAAAATTCTGGAAAATGCTGGAATTCTGAGATTATAGCCAAAATTTGGAGAAAAAAGTGAGAATTCTGAGAAAAGTCAAAATTCTGAAAAAATAAGTATGAATTTTGAGAAAAAAAACCTCTGAGATTTGAGTGAGGATTTTGGTATGGCCCCGCCATCTTTGTTTCTGTATCTACTGGTTCCAGTTAAGGATGACCAGCGTCGCCCTCTGCTGGACGGCAGCCAAACTAAATACTTAAAGAAGGTCTAAACGGATGTTAGTAGCTAATCGATTGTATCTAATTTTAATCTAATAATCCATTAATCGATAATCATAAGTGGATTAACTGCTTGCATCCGCAGTAAGAAGCCAAACAAACCAAACCTTCTCCTGCTTGTCTTCGCTCTCATCATAAGCTGAGGAGTCGTCCTACAGGAGGGCAGATAACAACTGCTCTAATCACAAAACAAACTAAAATCTATTAAATTCAACCAGATTTCACCAACAGCCATGAAAAGGAAACATCTAAAGTCAGGTTTCTTCTACCACTATGAGAGACGTTCTGTGCTCAATAAAAAAAGCTTTAGATATCTCAAGTGTTTGATTTCCACTTCAGCTCCCTCCTCAGTCATCTCTGATTAACTGAGAGCAGCAGCCAGAAATCCATATCTTTTCTCTGAGATAGAAAAAAAATATGTCTGGAAACTCCATGTAACAGCAGGAAGCTAATCTTTTTAATTTACTTTGTCTTTTTGACATCTATAACTGAGCACAGCTGCAGTTTCCGGCTCTGAGGGGATTACTTGTCTTTCAACACAAACAGAAAACCTCACTATAACAAAGCACAGCTCAAAAAACGAATCGGGAAAAAGTTTAATGGTTTTTCTCACTTATTTCAGAAAGTGAAACTCATATTTTATTGATTCATTACAGAAAAAGGCTGCAAAATACAATCGATTAAATTCCACAGATTTATTTAAGCCTTTCTTTATTCAACATTAGAAATCTAACCAAGCCGTTTCTAATTCAAATATTTTAGTGCACTTCAAATGAGACAAAACTAACAAGGATCTTTTCAGCTAAATATACTTGTTTAAGTCAATTATTAGTTGTTGTTTAAGTCAGTAATTCCTTAATAATGATGAAAAAGTTATATTTCCATTAGTAGATTTCACTTACAAGATGCAAAAAATGTCTTGTTATAAATAAAATTAGTACTTTTTACCAATATTAAGAAATTATTTACTTAAAACAAGCTCCTTTTTGTAGCTGAAAAGCTACTTGTAAACCAGTTTTGTTTTACTGTGAGTGTACTGAGATATATTAGAAATTAGACCGAAAATACTTGGAAAGATTTTCTTTTATTCTGAGTCTCACTTTCTGAAATAAATTATTAAACTTTTTCACAACATTTAAAATTTTCTGCTGTATTTCTACAGCACAAAACACAACGGCCCGACCGACCTTCTCCTTCTCTTTGTTGTCGACCTGCGACGGGATGCAAAGAGAGCGGACAGAGTTACAAATACAAGCTGCCCTCTTTAGATGCCACACAAAAACATACAGCACAGGCTGGCACAAGTCTACAGAACTAAAAACTGACTTTTTTTTTTTTTTTAGAGAATTCTGATATTAAAGTTAGAATAAAGGTCAAAATTCTGAGGAAAGTTAAAATTTAGAGAAAAAAGTGAGAATTCTGAGAGCAAATCAGAGTTATGAGAAAAAGATTTAAATTTTTTTCAGTGGTCTTCAAACTGCTTCTCCATCACAAACTCCCAAATCCCAGTTTTCAGCCATTTTGTGTTAAAAAAAAAACTTTTATCATGCAAAAAAACCCAAAGAAAATGTTTAACTGCTGGTTTTACTAAATGGTTTAACAAATAAATATTTTTGTGTGCATTTATTTATTCTAAAGCATGTGCACTTATTAAAACAACTAAGCAAAGTGAATGTTTTAAAGTGGTATAGTCAAAGTTTGAACTTCAAATTCAACTCAATTGAAACTTTACATGTGTCTGAATTAAAACAAATTTGCAAGAAGAAATTAAGACACATAAAAGACAAACACTTGATAAGTGATTAGTTTAGGGGGAATTACTTTCCAACTTAAACTCAGGTTTAGCTTAGAACATAATCTAAACTAAAAAATGGAGCATATACGGCATAAATACACTTAAAAGTAAAATTTGTCCAAAAACTAGTAACTAGTTACTACCCAACTCTGTTGCCATGGCTTTAGTCTTACCTCAGATCCCTCAGAGTCTGAGCAGCCAGACTGACATTTGGTAGAATAAAAGTAAAAAACATTAATAAAAAAATCAAAGAAAACGGTAAGAAATGAGACATTAACTAAAGAAAATGAAGAGTTCAGTGATCTCTCACCTTAGAGTCCTGAGACTGAAGGTGGTGAAGATTTAAACCAAAGGAACCAAACAATGGACGGTTATTTTAAAACATAAAGGCCATGAAGAAGAGTGAAACTGAAAGCAGGTTTTTAGTTTCTGCTGCTTCCTACCCACCATGGCGTCCTCTCCTTCGTTATCGCTAACGGCCTGCTGGCAACGGGCGAACGGGAAATAACAGGAGGTGACAGGAATTAACGGAAAATAATTAGAAATAACGGGAGATAATGGGAAATAACGGAAAATAACAGGAAATAACAGAAAATAACAGGAAATAATGGGAGAAAATGGGAAATTTGAAAAGAGACAAAGTAAAACAGACAAAGAAACGTGATTACAGAGAAATGAGATCTGATGAGAAACGAAGGTCAAATCCATCCATCCACCTATCCATCCATCCATCCATCCATCCATCCATCCATCCATCCATCCATCCATCCATCCATCCACCACTAAAAATAAATTGTGTATTTCAGAGATATATTATTTATAAGTTTTATCACATCTTTAGAGGAGAATAATAATCTAGATTAGCTCCTTTATAACGAATTAAAATTATTTTATTCATTATACCGGCAGCAGTTTAACGCAGTAACCAGTTTATGTCACCAGGTGGCATAGTTGAGTCATGAGGGATTTAACCTGAACTACATTCATGATGAGATGAAATGTTTGAAATACGATGGAAATATTTAAATAAACCAAGATTACATCAACAGCGTAGCTGTTTTGATTTGGGTTTTCTGATCTTGAAGTATATTTTCTTCTCATTTATGTAATGAAAACCTTAAACTTGGTAGCGTTTCAGGAGATGTGACGTCTCCGTTGTGACTGTGTTCGTTCAGAGCGCTGGGCTCTGGTTTTACTTCATAATGAATAAAAACTTTGGTTTTTCACAGGCGTCCCTGAGCTCCACCTCGTACGTCACCTTTGACCTTATGGAGTAAAAATAGCAGCACTCCTCATTATTAATATTCTTCTGGACAGGATTAATATGAAATATATATAATAGGTTTGACCCATGGAGCAAAACGTTTTAGCTTAAGAAGGATGTACATCTTTCTCTCTGTATCTGCAATTTAAAAACTGGTTTTAAATAATAAAACAACAAAGTTTGCATATTTACTAAAAAATATTAATATATGTGCAAAAAACTTTTTATATGTTGTGTAATTTTCAATTAAAACTGCATCTTGATGTTCTGATGTTCTCATTGTCAAAAGTTGAGTTTTCTGGTCATCCTGCTTTGAAAAAAAATGATTCAAATAAATAATTAAAACTCCAAATTAATGATTTAATGTAAACTTCTGACAACTTACCTTTATACAACATTTAAAACGCAAAAAAACAAAATTAAAAACTGAGTTTATCCATAAAACCCACCTCTTCATCGCACTCGTCAGGTTCCTCCTCATTCTCAAGCTTTTTGGAAAAAAACGCAGCAACGGATCAGTTGGAACGGGAATATTTTTGGTTTGTTTTTTATTCGTAGGGAAAAGAGGAATTGTCAGAAGGAGAAAGAGGAGTCTAAAAATATCGGGATGTACAGGGAGGGAAAAGGTTTATCTTCCCACTGACAGGAGGAAGGAGGGTGAGAGAAAATTCAGACGTACCCTCTCCTCCTCAGCTGTTAACTGCACAGGAGCAAAGGATCAGCATTACTTCTGACATAAAGTTACTATTTTAAACCTCCAGCTTTTACATCTCCACAAACAAGCTTTGAAATTATGAAAAGTTTTCTTCACTTTCATATCCGAGGAAGAGATTAGTATTTTCTCTGAACATTCAAAGCTTCTCTGCAAAAACACAAAGCATTTCCAAATATTCCTGTTTAGTTTTTAATGTAAACATCTTAGTACATTTGAATTAAGACAAAACTAACTTACAAGTAACTTTTCTGCAAAACACAGGAGGTTGCTTTAGGTCAGTAATTCCTTAAGAATTGTAAAAAGTACTAGTTCTTCTTGCTGAAAAGTTATTTGTAAAATAGTTTTGTCTTATTTCAAGTGTACTAAGATATTTGCACCAGAAACTAGACCAAAATACTGGGTAAAATTGTGAGTTTTTGCAGTGTAACACCTGCTGACCAGTAGTGCGGACACTTCCACTAATCCGCTAATTTTGCATTTAGCGCTTTAGCATTTTTACTATACTAACATTGAAAAACAATTAGCGCACTTAGATCCCATAAATAAAGTTTTCGGGATAAATCCTAAACCAATAATTTATTTGGCTGTTTTGTAAACTTTCAGTTAAAAAACGTTTGACGTTTCGGTTATCGATTATTAGTAATACATAGTTCCCACAGGAACAGCCATCTTGGTAGCCTGGATGTCTGCCTTAGCTTGCAGATAAAAGCTACATTAAGCTAATTTTGCTAGCTCTGCAGTAAGCACTACAGTAAACATCACTGATATTTATCATAGTATTAAACAGAGATTGGTGATGGAGTCAAAATATTTATTTAATAATTCATCCAGTGAAACCTGGATTTGAAGAAGACATTCAAGTCGTTTCAGGTCCGTGAGTTAATGGTAGGAAAGGATTCTGTTGTTTACCTGTTTTGCTCCCATGGACTCGAACATCTTCTCCAGCAGGACCCTCATCTGCTGGACGTTGTTCATCAGCACACAGGGCTGCAGGAAAACACAAGAGACGACTGCACTTAGAAAAAATAACAAAAACAGACCAATCAAGTGATCAAGGCAAAGGAAAGAGAATAAAATCAGGTTCATTTGAGCTCAAAGTTGTATAACAGAAGCTACTCACTATCTTCTCCTTCTCACAGTAGGATGGGAAGCTCTTGGCCAGAACCGCACAGTACTGCAGCAGAACCTTGGTGATGGTCTGTGGAAACCAGAAAGACAAGAGAAAACGCTTTGGGATATTCTGGAGATTCCAAATGTTGGCATCTTTTCCTGTCAGAAAATAACACTGCTTCATGAAGCTTGATTTTTTTCATCCAATCAGCACATTCCTTGGAAGAAAAGGAGCCAATCACAAGCAACAAGTAAAAATATTCCAGGAAGTGAAATAACAAAACAAAACTGTACATAGCACACTAGAATTTTGTAGCATAATACAGAGTAGTTAAGCAAACAAATACGTTTACTTTGTGCATTTCAGGAAACATTTCTATAATTCTTGATCTACTCTGTGATGCTGCTCAGTTCTGCCTACTTTGAGCTTCTTTCAGAATGATGATTTTAGAGGATCTGTCACTTTAAATTCAAATGAGCTGCTCAACTCAACCTTTAATGAAAATTACTACAAAAACAGTAGATGTGCAAATATGCAACTGTACATCTTTGAAAAGCATAAGTGGAGCCTCCTGCACAGCCAACAAGAATGCAGCAAGCTTTCCCAGGACTATAAGTTGACAACAAAACACTTTTCTTTTCCAGTAGCCATTGTGCAGCGCACCAGCTGACTAAACATGCTGGAGCTCAGCTGGGGTTGCTAGGTAACAGACTGGGCTTGGCTGGGGTTGCTAGGTAACGGGCAGTGCCTTCTGATTTGTGATGTTACGTTCTAGAGGTTTTTGAAACGGCTCATTTTCCAGACACCACGAAGAAATATAAACTTATTGACAAATAAAACACACGTCGGTGGTTATTTCTAAGCAGTTTTTCTGTTTTAAGAAGCAGTGAAAACCCAAATGGAAAAATGAAAACATGCAAAATGTGAATTTTGCAAAAAACACCCTTTAAAGACCAAAATCTATTTCTTTGATTCTGAATTAATTTATGTTTTCTATGTGTTTTCTTCTTTTCTTTCTAACTACTATCATTTATTTTGTTCTTTCCCTGTTTTAAAATGCTATATAAATGAACAAAGTGAGCACTGAACTTGTTAAAGCTAAAAAGCCAATAAGTTATTGGAGCAGCATGAGGTTATTTTGACTTTTGAACAGATCCAGACTGCATATTATCCCAGAAATTACTCTTAGACAGCAAAGAAAAAAGCTTGGATGCTTATCCAATGTTGTTTTTTGTTAAAAAATGCAGATTTCTGAATAAAACAAAAGGTCAAGAAAATGTTAACGAGCGAGGTTGCACAGAACACTCTCTCCTGGTGAGAAACCCTAAATGTCAGGTTTGTTTACGTCCAAACCTCCGTCGGCCACATTTTTAAAAAGTCAGCGGTTTAATTTATGAATTAAGATGGGAACTTATGGACAGGAAGGACCAAAGTTGTACCGTTTTCCCCTCAGAGCGTCCAGAACTCGCTGTGACAGATTTCCCGGCTTTCTGCTGACTCAGCCGGACGGCGGGCTCATGCATTAAACATTCGAGCCGTTAACAGCCTGCAGTCCGTCCCTCAGTCTGTCTGTCTGTCCAGTTAGACCTCCCCCCTGCTGTCATAAAGATGAATAACTACTGTTATCTAAATGAGGGTAAGAGAGACAACGCTGCAGGAACTGATGACACAAAACGTTTGCAAAAGAAATCAGAGACAAAAAGGGAAAATTAAACAGAGGGATTTTAAAAAACATGAGTGGAGTGGAATAAAAAGAGAAGTCATTCACTGGCAGGGGACAGAGCGATGGCTACATTAGCCCTTCTTTTCGTAATGAGTCCCACATTGATCCAGCCTTAAGGGCTATTAGTTTTAATGGAAATGCCTAAGAGGTGTGAAACTACAGTACATCTGAGTATAACAGAAATGTTAAACTCTGTTGGTCTGGGTATTTTACATGAACAACTGATGTGAGGAGGTGAAAAATGACCATAATCTGCAGCGGGGGGAGCAATTTTAGGCAAAAAATAAACACACCTCTTCATCAGAGGTGATTGAAGAGCACTTTTAAAGAGGGCAAAATTCACTTTTTGAAAGTTTTTATGTTTCCATTTGAGTCTCAACTCAAAACAAACCAAGCGCTTAAAAAAGAAACACATGCAGTCATTTTATGGCAAAAGCTTAGTGTCTTTTTTGGTGTCTGGAAAAGGAGCTGTTTCAAAAACCTCCTGGTTATTAAGTCACAATCGAGCATTACCTAGCAACCCCAGCCTAGCCCAGTCCGTCACCTAGCAACCAAAAGCAGATCTCCAGAACGTTTGATCAGCTGGTTTTACCACTGTATGCGCTGTACAATGGCTGCTGGAAAAAACAAGTGTTTAGTTGGTGACTTACCATTCAAAAACCACTTAATGCATTGTTGTTGGTTGTGCAGGAGGCTCCACTTCAGCTTATCAAAGTTCTACTGTTGTTTAATTGCACAATTGTTTGCAGCCATTTTCTCTTGTGAGCGTAAAAGTTGAGGTCAGAACTGACCAGATTAAAATCGTTTTATCTAATAGTGATTCAAAGAAGCATAAAATGTCATTATCATGAATTATCATGAATGCTGTAAAAGTCGGATACAATGTGTACGATGTCCATTTAGCTCCACATGTGGAAATGGGACAATTCAAACTTTTTGGGGTAAAAAGATCAAAATTGGGGAGTGTGCTGTGGAGGCGCAGGGGTTAAGCACAACCCACATATNGNGGCCTTTGTCCTCGACGCAGCTGTCGCAGGTTCGATTCCCAGCCTTGGTGACCTTTGCTGCATGTCTGCCCTCTTCTCTCAGTACCCACTTTCCTGTCAATTAACTATCAAATAAAGGCCACTAGAGGCAAAAAAATCTTTAAAAAAAAAGATCAAAATTGGGCAGCTCAGACTTCCATGAAAAAGTCCAATGCAGGTCGAATTTGGGCAAAAAAAAGGGAATTGGGTTGCATTTCCCTGCTTGTTGTATTTTGCCACAGACAAAAGAGAGATCCTTCAACCGCTAAAATCTGGCTCTACTCCATTTCTGTTCATATTTTAAGAAAAAAGTTGCCATCAGTGTCCTTTTCTGAAGTTTTTGAGTCAGTTCCGTGGTGTAGCGCCCCTGCAGATGGGGAGGGGAACAGGTTTTTCAAATGGTTTGGTTCATTTGACAGAGCAGTGTGAAAGTGAACTGCAACGGCTGAAAATGTAACAAAAGTTGCAACTTTGTCCCCAGTCCTGCTCCAACACACTTGGATCAAATGGTTGAATTAAATGTCCAGGGCAGACGCCTGGAAAGGAGCTGGTGATCCGAGCAACGCCTGTAAAAGCACAGTAGCTCTACAGGACTGAAGTTGAGCTCAAATCTCATAGCTCTCACCTTGGCGAAGCGTCTGTTATACTGGGCCACCACTGTGGGATCGGGACAGTCCAGTTTCCTGATGATCTCAAAGCTCTGGTTGAGCTGAGTGAAGATGTCCACCACTGAACTGGAGAACAGAACGTGCTCCGATGTCTGCTGGAACTGCAGGAAGAGCCAGAAGACCACACATTTCTTTAAGTGCAGACAAACAGCTGCTCCACATCTGAGACAATCTAATCGCTGCACTTATGGTATTGAGTGTCGCTATACAGGAAGGCATCAGATGGACTAATTGTACCCAGATAATTAGAGAGTCAAATTTCTGGCTTCTGCTGTTGGTTCCTTTCAGTTCTCACAGCAAAAACACAAAATATTACCAATTTTTGGTCCAGATTCTAGTGCAAATCTCTTAATACTCTGGAAAAAAGACACAACTAACTTACAAGTAACTTTTCAGCAAGATATTTTAGCTTGTTTTAAGTAAACAATTCTTTACTATTGATAAAAAAGTACTGGTTTCGTTGGTAGATTATTTCACCTGTAATGTTTTGTAAGTAAGTGAAATAATCTACTAACAAGACTGGAAGTTTTTAATCAATATTAAAGAACTACTGACTTAAAACAAGCTCTTGTCCCTTTCAGAAAAATTACTTGTAAGCTACTTTTTTCTTATTTGATGATATTTTCTCTGGAAACTAGGCCAAAAATACTTGGTAAGATTTTGAGTTTTTGCAGTGCTCTAACTCTTAAAACATCTCAAAGAGACTGACGAGATCAATGACATAAAAATGGCATCATATTATTTCACTAAAAGTATTTTTGCTACATTATTATTTAAAGATGGAGAAATCTGATATGAAAAACATGTCTATTAATTTAAAAGAGGTTTAATATATACATTTTTATGAAATAGTTCTTAGTAATTAGTGTCATTTGGTAATTATAAATCAAAGCAAGTGAAAATCACACGTGGAGTCCCTCAGGGCTCCGTTCTCAGTCAGCTTTTGTTCAGCATCTACACAATCTGACCAGCTCAGATTATGAAGTGTCACATAATCTCTTTAATATATATTGTATGTGCAGATGACGTACAGTTTTATATTTCTGTCACCACTTGAACCAGACATATATAAACCAAATAAAAAGACACATTTTTCCCTCACCGTCTGAAGTTAAACCTGTTTTGTTTTAGGTAAGTTAGAATTACCCAAATTACTTGTATTTCTTAAATGTCAGAAAACTCAGCAAGAACATATTTTTTAGATTTAGTATTGGATCAATTTATTTGATGTGTATTGACCATTGATGATTGCACCCTATAAAATGTAATGTTTGCTCTCTAATTAGTGACTCTATGTTGTTTGATTTACCTTGTTGCTGAAATGTGTGATACAAATAAACTTTATTGATTCATAATGGGTTCAACAAAACAAATCAAACCCTAAAGTGATCAGTGTTAAACTGTAGCTTCCAGGAGCCTCTTGATGCCAAAAGGCTCTGAACATAAAGTGCAGCTTCTGAACATACCAACAGCTCAACAGACTTGTCCATCATCCTGTAAAACTGGGCTCTAGGTGGCCAAAAGAAGCGCCGGCTGAACCCGAATCAATAAAACGATCCAGGAGGGAGTCTGTGACCTCGAGGTCATCAGACAGACGCTGTAAATTAACTGCTTCTGTTCTGCTGCTGCGCTCAGGGTCCAATTCAACAATCTGATAAGAAACTCTGAAGAAGACAGTCTCAGTGTGGGTCCAGCTGCCGGAGGCAACAAGAGCCAAAACTAACGGGTTTGGTGTGAAAACTGGATCTGCCTTCAGGAAAATGTCCTGGAAGATCCTGCTTTTTATCCCCTCTTTAGATTTTTATTTTCATCCATCCCTGTCTGTCGTATGTTCGTCTTTACACACCAGCTTCAAACATAATTTAACTTTACAAATAAAAAACTGAGAGCATTTTGAACTACAACAAGCTTAATTTTCTAAAGAACATTTAACACTGGAGCTGGAATACATGTTAAATATCAGGAAACAGAACATCCAAAACAACAGCAATTAAAATGGATTATGAAATTTCTGTAACCAATAATATAAATTCAGCTTAGACAGGGACAACAGGCAAAAGAGGCAGACAGTGCTGCAGTTTACAGCGTTTTGCCAACTTTTCAACGGCATTAAAAGGGGAGCATCTCTTTAACAAGTGTTGTTCTAACGAATATTATAATTTTAATTTATCATTCAATTGATTGATTTATTGTTTAAGAACATTTAACACTGGAGCATCACCGCATTGAGTTTTGCAGTAAGAAGCGACATGCATGAGATCAACCTTGTGGTTCAGTTAAAAGTTTTTAATTATTTTTTGTTGTTTTTTGTTAAATGAAAACTCACCCCTTCTCTCTTGTCTCTCTCTAGAGCTCCGGACATGAACTCCATCGACACCTCCTCGTTCTCGGCCAACCAGGCCAGAACAAACTGGAGGAACCACCTGCAAAAACGCAGACAGAACAAATGAAAGACTTCTCACCACCTGTACTAATAAAGATGTCCTGAAGAACAGGGGGAACCTTCCCAAGCTACCATCAGGCAGAACGATCACGTCAAGTCGGAAAAAGGTTGGTCCACTGAAAGAAAATCATGACGCTGCAATGCTATTTAGCTAAAATGGACATATTACGCAAAATTCACATTTTTATACTTCCATCTGGGTTTTTACTGCTTCTAATATCAACGCAAATGCTTAAGAAACCCCACAAAGTCGGTTTTGGCAATAAGTTTATGTTTTTTAGAGTCCAGGAAGTGAACCATTTTAGAAAACCCCGGAGTGTGAATGTGCCGTTACCTAGCAACCCCAGCAGAATTCCACCCGTCACCTAGCAACTCAATCTGAGCTCCAGCTCTTGTGGTCAGCTGGTTTTACTAACGCATGTCATGTACAATGGCTGCTGGAAAAGACAAGTGTTTTGTTGCCTTTCAGAAACCATTTGCAAAATTCACATTTTACACGTTTTTATTACTTTGATTTGGGTTTCAAACTGCTTATAAAAACAGTTTAACTGCATAAAAAAACCAAAAAAAAAACCCATCCAGATATTTTGTTTTCAGTAATGCGTTAATGTTTTTTGGTTTCTGGAAAATGAGTCGCTTCAAAATTTTCCGAATGTAACATCACAAAAAAATGTCTGAACATGATTTTTAAACGCCCATAATCCTAACCTATTCAAGAATAAGAGGACATCTTTAATGTCGTACTCTTCACCAGTCTAAAGTTGTTGTTGAAATGGCTAGAGACTTTAGCACTGTGTGACATCTGTTATTCAGTAGATCAGTATTTCCTGTAGCTTGGGAAGGAGCACTGATAGAAGTGTAGAAAGACAAAAGTTAGTAGAGCAAACATTTGCTGAGTTCAGGGTGAATTCAAACCCATAACCATCTTGTAGCGAGGCAGCAGCAGCGCTAACAGCCGCGCCTCTGTGTAGCTCGACACGCAGCACATTGGGGACAAATTAAACAATCGATCAAAAATCGATGGGGAGGAGCTTCCCTTTGAAATAGGGGGAGAGGAAGAGCGTCTTACGCAGAGTATTCAGGCACAGCGTCTGCGAAGGCGGGCAGCTCCTTCACGTACTCGTTGTACAGCCACTTGACTTTGAAGTGCAGGTTCATGTAGTCTGAAGACTTACACAGCTTATGGTTCTCATGCTCTGTGAAAGAAAAACAAAAATTATACAGATTAAACAAAGAAAACAGCATGAAGCTGCAGCATAAGACCTGTTTTTATCAGAACAAATCAAATGAACCCCTTCAGACCTGACGTGATATTTCTGGGATTTTGTCATTTCAGTGATTTCTGTTACTGACTAGATTCTTATTAATATTGCATTGCTCTGAAAGGGGAGGAGACAGTGTCTATTTTCCATCAAAAATATAAATTTAAGTTCATGGTAGCCTATCAAAATTGCTCTTGTGATTTTATATATTTTCAGTGATATTATGTGAAGTTATTTTGAATAACGGCGGATAAACGATTTTAGTGTAATGTTAAGTTGTTAGCACATTTAGCAGCGAGTACATGAGGTTGACTGACAGCGCTAAGACCTGCCTCCTGGCTCTGATTGGCTGTTTTTGGTCAGGAGCGATACATTTCTTCAGACAGTGATAATGGCTTTGGGAGAAGGTGGAGATCGATCTTTTCACAGATTATCTGTGTCATGGTGACAGTTTTAACAAATATGTAAAAAACAGTATTTTTAAATAAAGGTTCATACTGCAGCTTTAATTCACACACCCTAACTTTAATTCATATTTAGGACATAACTTTAGTCCCTACAAGGCTTAGTTTCCACTGAGCAGTATGACACAGGTTGGTGCTTCAGTACGACATTTTGTCTGTTTCCATTGTAAAAGCGGCATTTTTGTGGAAAAAAAAATGAGAAATGCTAAAACACACCCAACCACACACGCACGCACGCACGCACGCACACGAACACACACACACACACACACACACACACACACACACACACACACACACACACACACAGAAAGTCTTACCAGCATAAAAATCAACTCTGCGGATGTGAAATGTGGCAGGAGCTGAGATGGCAACAGAACAATGAGTGAAGCAGAGAGAGTTCAGAGAGCGAGAAGAAAGCGTGATGCGTTAACAAACAGAGGAGGATGAATTTATAAAATAACACTGATGTCACACAAATCCAGAACCAGGATAAAAAAAATATCACTGTTTATGAATGATCTAATACTTCAGGATAAAACATTTTGCAGGATTTCTACAAGTCTCAGTAGAGCTACAGTGAAAGAGTTTTTTATTTGTAAACAATGTAGCTTGAGGAAAGTTTGAGAAAACACAGAAAGGTTTCATTCAGTCAGATTAAATATATGTCTTCTTGTAGTTTCAACCCATTTCAGAGGCACTTTCACCGTGGCCACATGTTGCTGCATGCTGTCAGTTAGCTGCTAGCTGTTAGCATGACAGCTAAGACAACCTAAAAATCTCTACTGCTCATTAAAAAAGGATTAACAATAAACACCTGAAATGAGTTGGTAACTAGAGGAAGGCCACAAATCTTAATTTCTAAGCTAACGCTGTTGTTAGCAGCTAGCTACAAAGATTAGCATGTCAGTCTGTCAGATAAACAAATACTACTAGTGCGCTAACCCAGTTAGCATTGACTTCTTAAGCTCTCAGAGTGACTTTCCAAAGAGATTTAACCCTAAATATTCTGAATATAAGGTTTATTTTTCTTAATTTATTTTTATTCAATCTTTATTTAAACAGATTTTCTATGATGGCTTATTAGAGCCAATGTACATAGAAAAAAACACATTACATCTCCACCAAATAACTTGGAAATTTTGAGATTAATCTCAGAAATCTTCTAGAAAAAACAAGGAAGTTAAGAAATTGATAGGAAAAAAAAATCTGAAATTTTGATATGCTCAGAAATTTGAAAAAAAAAAAGAAAAAAAAAAAGACTTTCTGAGCTGAAACAGAAGTTTTTTTTTTTTTACATATTTAATTGGAATCCCATTAAGAAAGGAATAACAATATTTAATGCTAGTTTGGGTGAAGCATGTTAACAACATTGTATGATGATACCCTGAATATGTTGCATAGAAATAGAAACAATGATTAATGCACTATAATATAAACACCTATTGACTATCAGCTACATTGCCTCTAATCTCACCATTGTTCCAGCGATAGTGATCAACTTTATCCAAAACTGAAGAAAATGATGAAGAAGAATGAGAAGAGAGTTGATGGCGAGGATTTAGAGGCTGGATGGAGATAGTACCAACCGCTCAACGTGTTTTTACCTTCCAGAGCGTATTTCATGTCCTGAGCAAAGAGAGTCCACATGACCTCAGCGCTGACTTTACCCACGTTCAGTTCCTGAGGAAATCTGAAAGGGTCGGAAAGGAACAGCTAAATATTGACACGTCTAAATGTGAAAAACTGAAGTAGTTTTAGTGAATCTGTTTTCTTTTTGGTTCCTGTGCTCTGAATAGTGTGTATGTGCTGGGAATTCACAGCGTCCCGCTGACCAGGACAGGGAATGCTGCTTTTACTGTGTTTCTTTATTTATGCCATATTTCGGCATTGACTGCCTTTCTGGGAATATAAAAGTCTCTACATAAGAATCAGACAGAAGTCAAATTCTTCAAGCATCCAGCATGCCGACATGAGTAACTCATCAACAGAGCAGACAGCAGAGCAGAAGATAAAATCATTTTTTGTCATCATTGCTGCCATATTTGAGTTACAAAATAATAATCTAAAGACTTCTGATGTTGTCTGGTGGACAAACTTTCTCAATAAAAAGTTGAAGTGAATGTCAGAAAAATAAAATTTTTTACTAAATGTCATGCAATTAAATCTTGATTTGCTAATTTGAAGTGACAATAAAGAAATTGAATTTACATTGATGATGAAAGTGAGTGTAAGTCTGTTCAGGTGAGTGAAATAAAGTAGATGTGCTAATCAAAGCGGTCGGTACTGACTGGTTGATGACGGGCGCGTATGAGTTTTTATCTTCCTCGATGATGGACACGATCAGCGTGATGAGCTTCGGCCAGAAGTCCAGGTTCTGGATGCTCGGGCCTTGCTCTTCAGGCTGACTCTCCTCTTTTTTCTCATCTTCTTCTTCCTCCTCCTCTTCGTCCTCCTCCTCTTCACCATCCTCTGCTTCTCCCTCAGTTTTCTCCTTTTTTTTCTTCTTCTTTTCCTGCTCAGGCTGCAACAGAAAAATCAATTTGAAAAAATTAGAGTAGCTGACAAAAAAGAAGACTTTGTGCAATCTTTGTTAAGATCAATCAATCAATCAATCAAATTTTATTTGTATAGCACATTTCAGCAGCATGGCATTTCAACGTGCTTTACATAATTAAAATAAAAACAGCATGTGAGAAAGAGAAAGAGATTTAAAAATGAAGAAAAAAGATTAAACGTTTGGTTAATTTATGCACAATAAAAAGACAGAAAAACAGGTTTCCACTCATTAACAGACACATATTTCAGAGCAAAGTTATAAAATATTCAGAGGCACTGATGGTGACTCTTATTAGTCCATTAGTTTGTGCAGCAGCATCCGTGAGAATACATTTTACTTCACATAATAATCCTTAAATGCATTTAGAAATATTGAAATCCATCAGAAAATTTTCCAAAACCACTGGAGGTCGTGAAAGTGTTTTATTTAATCTGACAATGTAGACAAAAAGGAACAAATTAAGGATTAAAACAGATAATATTGTGGATTATCTTTTTTTCTTTCATTCTATTATATTTTATTTGTATATTTGATCTTTGTGGTAGAGAAGATATCTGTGATCATAAAAAATACTATCATTAAAATATTAATGAAACTCTATAAGTCTGATTTATTTTTATTTTAGCAGCTGCACAACCTTCTGGGTCGCATTAAGAGTTGTTCAGAGCGCTAACGGATCACAGATGTGAGTAAATGAAGCTGATTGATCAGGAGCTGCAGACAGACTCGCCTGTGGGCCGGCGGGCTGGAACTGGCGGCTGAAGAGCTCCAGACAGTTGTTGAAGATGTATTCGTAGGTGGAGTTCAGGCAGGCCTTGACGCAGTCCCGGACCACGCTGGCGGCTCTGGGCGGACTCGGCAGCTCCAGCACCTGAACGTCAGCAGCCAGTGAGCGGGAGGAGGGGCAGCAGCGAACAGAACCAACAGAAACACTTCATGAAACATCATGGTGTTAAAACCACATGGAGGCCCAGGCCTGTCATGATCACTAATGTTGGTGGAGGATAAATTGCTCATATTTGTTTGCTTAACTTCACTACAAAATTCAGTGTCATGTTCCTTTGTGCTCCATCTAATTCATTCACAGCATGAAGCTCCATAAGTTGGATGTTTTTCTGTCACCTTCATCCTGAAGAAGGTGATGCTGGTGAGAAGATCTACCGTCGATTTCAGGTCGCTGAGTCGAGCCTTGTTGCTGGCCGGGAAGTTATTCTGCATCAAAAACACACAACATCTCCGGATATCACATTTTATTTAACACTAAAAACTAACATCTTTAAACTTTTTATAACTGGTAGAGGATAAGATTTATTACTCCAACAAAACTTTAAATCGCCCTTAAATACACTTTGTTGTACATTTGGAATCTCCAGGATTGCAGAAAAGTTTCATTTATCGTCTCTTGGTGCCATGTAGAAATCTTTGTTTTGATTTGGGTCATATTTTTCAACCCATTCAGATTTCTCTATTCCCTATTACGCTATTTGAACAATGACATCAAAGCATTTCCTGCAGAAGAACTAAATAAAGTTTTGGACATCCAGCTAACATGTCCTGCAAATCCTAAAGACTTAGAAACAACAGACACAGCAAGCCAATAACATTAAATGACAACAAACTTTATTTTAGACATTCATTTTGACGTTTCTATAGAAAAATTTGTAGTTTCCATTTTCATATAGATAATTTGCATTCTTTTCCCAGGAAATATTTTCCTTTCTTGCATTAAAACCACTTATTTTCAAATGCTGACGATGCCAAAAGCTTCCACTCACTCTGTACGTGGAGAGGTCGATTCTCAGAGAGTTGTGCAGCTGATCCAGGAGCTTCACAAAACGATCCCTCTGTTGGAGCAAAACCAAGAGAATCACAGAAATGTTTAACGGATTCTTAGAGTTGTTCAGACTGCAAGGAAAATCCATGCGTGAGAAACACTGCAGAAATGCAAAAACAGAAAATATCATGAAAGAAAATGTGCAAAATGCAATTCAAATGTAATATTCAGATTATGCTGCGTAGAGATTACAAATAACTCTTTCCTCAATAGACGGGTAACTTCCTTTATTCAGTTATTTTTACTGAAAGAATCTTAAACTCACAACACTGAACAGCTGCTACCGATAATTTGCAAAGTTAATGTGTAATCAAACACCAGGCAGAAGATTAATTATAAGCAATCAACTTATTTCCACGAGCAAACAGTAAGAAACTGTTAGAAACTCCATTAGATGGAAGCTAATAAAGCAACAGCATCAGTTACTCACACTATTAATGATGCACATCTTTATTTATGATACTATCTCAGTATCACTAACAGGCTATACACATATTCATTGTTTCAGATGTAAATAATGCTTAATGCCAGATATACCTTAACTTATAAAGGTACAATACTGGTGGGGTCCAAAACTGCAGATTACTTTTAATAAAGTTCAAATTTAACGAGTATATGAAAAGTTTTGCCATTTTGGGGAAATCTAACCCACAATTGTATTAATGTTCTATAGGTTTTACCATGTATGTGTGTTCATTATTGTCTCTGTGTTCATTATTGTTACAAATGTGTTGCTGTACTGGTTCATTCCTTTTAGCTTATTAGTTTATTGAATTTATTTCTGTTAGATTATTAACAGGCCTTTTTCCTTTTTGCTTTGTAGATAATTTAAGTTCACTTTGTCTTTATTAAAGCCTGAACTTTAACATGTTATCTTTGATTACTTAACTACATAGATTAATCTCCATGGCAACCATTCAGCTGCGCAAATGCCAGGGTGGAGCTAGCTCCGCCTACAAGGCTCAGCTCCACCCCCACTCAGCTCCCCCAGCACCAATTAGTGAAAACCTGGTGGACTCATTACATTCTTTTTATTATCACTTTTTTTTTTATTGTTGAATAAATATTGTGTTTATCTACTGAAGAATTTAGCAACAAAAATGGTTTTTGATTTGAAAATGTTAATGATACATAGTTTCAGATTAATATGCAATGACATACCCTGCAATTAACTTGATTAAAAATTTCGATCGAGTCCTGTCTTTGCTCTTGGGTCTTTTCAAACCCTAAATATGACACATAAATCAATATTTATTCTGTTCAATTCACTTGTACTACTGCATCTCACTTACAAAATGGAGCAATTAGGACTGCTCTGTTTCTGTGCGAAAGACACAAACTCACAGCTTTTAGGATCACAAACATTGAAGCTAGTTTATTTACTTGAAGATAATATCAAAAAATGTTCCGATTATGGTTTTGCCATTTGAAAGCAGATTGATCTCACTTTAAAAATCAGGCGTACAGGAGCTGCTGGATCCTCTAACTCGGCTCTCTCATCTGAATTATGGCCAGCAGCGGTATCCCCAATGCTTATTTTTATCCACTTTCTTCCACATTGCATTGGCTGCACAAATGTATCTGCATGGCACGGGGAAGACAGAACCTGCTGCTTGGAGGGAGAGTTATCTGCTGCGGAGGGAGTCACGACTTGGACAACAAAATGAGGAACCAGACTGGGTTTTATCTCAGATTACTGCAAAGCTGGGCTTCCACTCTCACTTCTTATGATCTGACTGGTTACAAGACATGGAAAAGATTCCCAAAATGCAGCATTTTTATTATGCAACCATTTAAAATTACGTTTGACGTCTGCCTTTATACTGTCAGAAAAGTGGAAACTAATGTTTGTAGGCATACTAAGAAAGTTTCTGTGCTTAAAAATAAAAAAATCCTTGTATTTTTACAAAAAATGTGATAATCCTGAGAGTTTTGTTTTTTGTTATGGCTCTGGAGCGTCCCATGTAGGCAGGAGCAACACAGACAAAGAGGGAGAAGCGCAGAGCGTGCAGAACGGCTTTGTGAGTCACGTCTGTCATGACAAAAAATAATAAAAAATAGAAGGAAAATACACACCAACTAACAACTGCAAAGAAATTAAGTTGTATTCTACTCAACCATGTGCCACTCCTCTTAAAGGGACGGTATCATGTAAAATCAACTTTTCTTTTAGCTTCACATCATGTTTTATATAAAATATACCTGGAGTGTTGCTTTGACTCTTTCATGCATGTTTGAGAAATCCTCTAATCTCCATGGGAATCAACTGTGTAAAACGCCTGGGTGGACCAAGCCTCGCCTTAGAGGATGAAGCTCCTCCCCCACTCAGCTCCTTCAGACTAGCCAGCAGCAATTAGCAAACACCTGGTGACACTGTGCATCTACTGACTCATCATAAGACCCAATTCTTAGGTAAAAACGTTGATAAATGATTAATAGAGGAGCCATGTTGTGATGACTTTCTGAAGGCGGAGAATCAGAAAGAGCAGGAGCTTCTTAAAGAGACAGAGACCCAACTTCAAGGCATTGAAATGTGGAGTCAAATTTTCTTTAAGTCATATTTATAACAACTGAAGGTAATGTAGTTATTAATTGTGCTATAATATGGCTCTGTGTGGCTGGGATAAAAACATAATACTGCCACTTTAAAATCTTACCTTAACTAATCTATGAATCTGTCCAGATTTTGGACGCAAGATGGTTTTGGACAAACAGAGAAATTGACTTTATTTTGCATATTTGGGTGGTTTAAAAGCATTTACTGTCTCTATAATTGTGTTTTTGTCCTTCGTTGACAAACATAATAAAAATGTCAAGTTTCTTAGCTTTCCAGTTAGATATAATACGTATATATGAACCCCAAAACTTCAAAAGGTTTTCTTCAACTGAAATATTTTTAAAGCACTAATTTCTTCACACAGCTTTAGGAAGCTTTCAGATAACAGATAATACGGAGTCTGTATAATGCAAACCTATTTTTGCTTTTGAGAAACAAAAACATCAGAGAAAGAGAATCCAGTGGGATAAATGTTATTTTTTATAAGGAGCGACAGAGAAGAGAAACTGCAACTTCATTAGGAAATCAGAATGTAACCATTAAATGAGACAAAACCGAGACAGAAAATAAAACGGACTCCCTGCTGTCTCTGGTATTTTATCTGCGGTCAAAGATAAAAAATATATGGACAAGAAATATGGGATCTATTATTCTGAGAAAATTATAGGCTTGAAAACATGTTTTTGTACCTTCAGTGAGAGAAATCCTGAGCAATTCAACTGAGAGTTTCATTTGAAACTATTTCATCAAAGTATTGTTTAAACAGAGCAAATTTTTAATCACAAATTATATTTATTTTCTTAATTCCTAATCTAGCATGAGACTATGTTCTGGTCTGGGTTCTGATTGGCCGATTCCCAGAATATATTTATGCGTAAAGGTTTTCCACGACAGCAGAAAGCAACAAAAGTTGAAAATTTTTCCAATTCTCTTGTGTTTTGTTGCTAACCCACATGCTAACATCATCAGAAAGGGTTGGGGACACGAAATTAGAAGAAAAAATATATCTTATGCGCCTCTTGTCCCCTGAACAAGTTTGACATAATTAAAAATAAAAGCAGTTATACGTGGATCTTGCTTTTCCTTTTTGTTACACGTGTTTTCGTCAAGAATGTATGTATTTTGTTTTTCAACAAAGATTTGTAAAAGGAAAATATAAAACAAAGCAAAGACATTTCTTGACAAAAACACATCTGTAAAGAAAAGCCAAAAGAAAATATACACATTTAATGAAAACACGTGTCTAAGGAAATCGCAAAAAAGAAATACATTTCTTGAAGAAAATGCATATATAAGGAAATAGAAAAACTAAATATTTACATTTCTTGACAAAAATGCCTGTGTAACTAAAAGGAAAAACAAAATATTTAAATTTCTGCTTTTATATTTAATTATGTCACTTCTGGTCCTCCGTACAATAAAGGCTGACTTGTATTTACTACTAAAATATTTGGGAATTTTCCACTAATGATATTAACAATTCACTGGTTACCTCCATTAGGTTTGTTTTCACCCTCGTTAATTAATAAACAACCAATCACTGAGCTAATTCAGGATGAAAAACGTTGCAATGCATCATTTTATTCTACTATTTCATAATAACTAAGACATTTCCACCTATTAAAGCCTATAAGTTGACCAGATGGGAGGGAAACAGCTTACTGGAACATTTTAGTCAGGAGAACCTAATGAGACAAACAAACTAACCAGCAGGGCTTATTATTGAGCTGACAATCCAAAAACACTCCTACACCATTTCTCATTATGAGAGCGGACCTGTCTGCTTCCTCTGACCCGTTAAAGCAGAACCGAGCAGGACAGGAGAAACTGTCACGATTGGCAGAAAACCCTGGAGCCATTAAGTCCGGCCGAATTGTCATGCCTGCCTGCGGTTCCCAAAATGGCCACCGGTCCGATTTAGACCAACACACGCGGTTCAGAACCACCAAGTCTCACAGGAAGTGACAAAGTAAGGATGAAAAATAGATCCAATATGAAAATGAACCTGCTGGAACTGTGCAGGTTACTTTAACAAACTGTAATGTTCAGAATAAAACAATTCATCTGTAACGACGGTTTATTCTTTGTTCCTCATTCAGAAAAAGAAATGTGATTTTTTTTCCATTCTGGAATTTGTCTCATTTCACTGAAAAATATCAAGTATTTGTATAATTTATAATCTAGAAACTGTGGCATGTGCACAAACTCAAACTTAGAGAAAAACTTAGATAATTAGCAGAAAAGACATAAAGTCATAAATTTACACACAAAAAAAGTTGTTTTAATGAGAGCAAAGCTTTGATGTTATGACTTTATTCTCATATTATTTAGACTTTACTGTTACAGGACTTTTCTCATTTCATTAACACTTTATTTTGGTAATCTTATGACTTGTCAAATAATAAAAAATGCTACTCTCGTATTTTTACTCCTTTCTTCTGATAATATCTTGGCTTTATTCTACAATCATTACGACTTTTTTTTTCTAGTTTTTTTAAAAGTCTTGTTCTGTTAATATTATGATTTTTTTTCTCAAATTGGAAAAACTTTTTTCATGAATTATAATGACTTTTTTGTACAACTTTTTTCAAAATACAAACATGGAGAATCTATCAAACAAGCTTGTCAAACAAGATGGCCGCCTCGGGCGCTCTGACATCACTGAACTATTGAAATCTAATGAGTGTATTAGTGAAAAAAAAATCCAGAACTTAAAAAAATGTAATCTTAAAAAATGTGAATATTCGATAAAATGGATGCACATCTTAATTTGAATCCATTGTCACATTATTTTGACAATCTACAAAACTTTCTCTCTAAAAAAAGCCAAAAAGAAAAGCTTTTAATGCTTCCACGTTTTAAATAAACCACAAATAATACATTGAGTACATAAATTAACCAGCACAAATGTTCCATGTTTCACCTCTCTCTCAGTTTTTGTCACTAATTTCTCTCCAATTTAATAAACACTAGCAATATTTTGACACTTTTCCAAACGGACTGACAGCTCGACTCGGCGTCCCGTGAGGAAAACAACAGAAATGCTGCGTTTGTTTCCCCGTGACTGCGGCGGCCACTCACCCCAAAGTTGGAGGCGGCGAATCTGGCGGGAGCGGAGACGTTTGTGGAGGCAGTGGGGTGGGCGTAGAAGGCATTGATGTTGGCCAGCAGGGTGCTCATCACTGCCGGCACTCCTGACAGCATGTACTTAGACGACAGGCAGGAGAAATGCCTGGAGGGGTGGAGGAAAACAGTCAACGTTTCTGAATGGCAAAGAAATAAACAACCTTATTTTTCCACAGGGTAACTACAACCAACGGAAAGCACGGCTTTATTTCGGTTTGTCGGATTGGGGGATTCAGAATAAAGCAGGGAAGAAAAACCTGCTGAGTCATGCTAGAGCCGGGCGTTCTTTGGTTGCCATGGCAATTCCAGACTTTTCTAAGAAGCAGCAAAGCAGAAACCTCTGGAGGTGTAAAAATTAAATTAAGATTTTTTTACTACCAGATCTAATTTCCAGTTTTTATTTCTCGCTTTTTTTTAATTAAATTACAAATGACAGAAAGAAAATGTAAAAAGTGTTTTTTATTCCAAACATTCCTTATGCGAGTTTAACAACAAAGTATTCGCTTACTTAATCAAATCGATTCATCACCCAGTCCTAGCGACAACTTAGGTTTGTGTAGGCCATACTAATATAACTGTTATTTAATTACGATAAAATAGTTATACTCCTAGCAGGGGAAAAAAATCTATTTCAATAAAAAAAAAAAAACCTTCTAAAAATCAGAAGAAAAAAAATAAATTTTAATGAGATAATATCCATGCTTAATGAGAAAAACCTTGGATAATTAATTTCTTATTTTTTTGTGTTTGAGTTAACTACAACTTCATTCTCTTTCAGTAAAACCTTTGTGTTTCAACCCCAGTTTTAAGTTAGCATTAGCTTCTTTGTTTTCTCAACAGCTCCTTTTCCACTGGGGTGAAGTCTGGTTCAGCTTTAATTCATCTAATTCTGGGATTATTGATGAAATTATATCAGCTTGCATTTGCTCACATCACCGGTGCGCTCTGAGTCTTTCTCTCCATCTGATCACACGGAGGGGGAAAACGCAGCAGGTCATACGTTCTCATTACACGAGATAAACTGATTTGCATTCTGTTTATAGTTCATGAAAACCTCGCTAACCTCACTGACCCCGCACACAAACACACACGCACGCACACGCACACACACACACACGCACACACACGCACACAGAGCTGCTCAGAAACAATAATATGAAGCGTTTCCTGATTTAATTGAGCTAAAATCCAGGACTAATTGGTGAACTGCACCAAGCAGCTAGCTTACGTCATGGCCTGGTAGATGGACTCCACGCCATAGCGCATCGCAAACTCGTCCACAATTTCCTGCTGAACTTCGTCAAAGTAGACTTTCCACGCGTCGTCGCCCTGAGCGGACGGGATCTTCACCATCCCGCCTCCCTCGATGTCCGTCGAGTAGTGAAACATGTTCTGAAAGAAAACAAAACTCAAAGAATTAGAAGCTAGTTTGGTGATATAAAGTTGCATTTCGATTTTAGCTCAAGTCAAACTCAATTAAGTTTATTTATATTACATAAATTAACTACAACATATTTTACATCGCACTCTGCTGCTTCCCAACGTTTACATTCACATTCGAAAATGTCTGCTAACAGATGTGCAATTATGCAACAGCTCATCTTCGAAAAGCAGAAGTGGAGCCTCCTGGACAACCAACATATTCTCATAGATCAATAAACATTAAATTATAATTAACATTTAACACTGGAATTGGAAGACATTTTAAATACCTAAAAATAAATAAACAACAGAAACAACAAATAAAATAAATTTTGAAGGTCAATTTTGTTTAAATTGACTATTTGAGAGCAAAGAACCAGACTGAAGATTTTTATCATCCAGTTTTTGGTAGAAGGTGAAAATCAATAAATCATGCAAATGGAAATCATGCTAGCTTTAATTTATGAAGCGACTGATTGATTGATTGATTTATTGATTTATTGCGACAGGCCAACGTGGGCTGTTTTCAGAAGCAGCAGAGACTGAAACAGAAATACAAAAATGTGCAAACTATGATTTTAAAAAATTTGAATTTGATCGAAGCTCTTTCAGATTCTGAGTCAGTAACCCTGATTCTTCAGTTTGTACCTCGTGAAGGCAGGTGTACTGCACATGGTACGGCGCCACCTTCTCCTCTCCCTCGATCTCCACGCTGATCTGAAGGCGGACGGCACCAGACACCGCCGACTTGTCAGTTCTCTTCTCTGACAGCGAAAACAGACAGTCACAGTTTTACAGTGAAGCCAAAGCCCTGCGTCACTCAGCATGACCTGAGCTGAACCTTTTCCTTCATGAATGAGTAAAACTGCTGCAGCTTCATGTTTTGTTTTCTTCACCTGATGTAAATTAATGGGTAATTAGTAGGTTTCTGCAGAACTTGACGGCATGCTGAGGAAGGAAAGCATCTTAATGAGCTCTGTTTATACATTGTTTTGTAGTAACACGTACCCAGGTTGTACCAGACGTCCATTTCTCCACTCAGGGTTCGGACCTCGATGATGGTCTGACCCAGGAAGTCGTCCGACTCTCTCTTCAGTCGCTGCTTCACTCGCGACTTGATGTCGTCGTCCTCGTCCCACACTCGGAGTTTGATCCGGTCCGACGAATTATGGCACTCGCTGCAGAGGCAGAAGATGAATAAACATAAAAATGAAGAGAGGAAATGTCTCTAGAGCTGTCCAGTTGTTTCTGCAGCTAGATGTGTTGATATCAAGTTGACTTGTGGAGCAAAAAGTGAAGGTAGATGATCCAAACAATCTCATTTAAATCACTTAAGGATTTGACTTCAAATTACATTTAATTAGGGGTGTCTAAACTTTTGAATCAAAAGTGTTCAGAGTACTCACATACATTTGAAGATTACTTCAGTGAGGAAATGTAATAGTGATTTTCTGTGTCTCTAAAGATGAAAGGTGTTAATCAGATGAAGGTAAATCAGGATAATCATTACTGATTTCCTCACAGATATGAGAGGTTTGAACCAAATGATATCACCACCGTGGGTTTGCAGTGTGAGCGATTTTAAACAAGGGCATAACAAGCAGGACTGTTTTTCATAGCAGCCAAAAATCTGCACTCACAAGCTAAACTTTTCCTCCCAGATGGGGTTCAGGTTTCCGTAGATGGTCTTTGTTCTCTTCTTGGTTTTCCCCACCTGGATGGTGACGTACGGGTCGCTGGAGCCGGTCCGGTCCTTGGCCTGCAGACCCTGAGCGCTAACCACTGAGGGAATAACGAAAACACACCATGACTGTGGAAATTGCATAAGAAAAACAAACACCTACTCTTTCTTTTTCTCATTCACACACACACACACACACACACACACACACACACACACACACACACACACACACACACACACACACACACACACACTCTCATCAAAACAGAAGATATCACCCACACTGTTATGCAAAGACTCGTAACAGTTTTCGTGACTCACAGGCAGATGCAGGGGAAAAGCGATTAACTAAAGTCATCCAGTGCAACAAGGCAGCAAGAAAACCTTCACAGAAACACGGAGCCTTAATACGAGTTAGAAAGCAGAGAAGGTGGACCGGAAACACTGGAAATTAGATTTTATTTTTTAAGGAATGAAAATCAGAAATATTCATTCTGTGTGAGCAAAAAAATTTTTTGATACTGCTTAGACTTTTAAAAGTTCATAATTTTACGTGACAGAGCCACACAATTTATTTTAGTTTGGATAAAAGTTACGTATTTTCATGCCACACTGTGAAAATAGTTTTGCTGGTTTTTGGAAACTGAAATTCATAAATCGTCGTCTATCATGCTTGAACTTGTGACTCTAAATATTCTTGATTTCTATGTGATCTTTCCTCGATTCTTTGACTGACTGGCGGTGACTGATAACATCACATCAAAGGGAATTTTACATCAATTGTGGGAGAAAGTCCCAAATTAATTTGTGGAGATCAAAAAACATATCCTGTCAGTTAACTGTCAACTTTAAACACTTTGCAACATCAATTTAGGTCTGATTTAATTATTTAAAGAGGACATGCTCAAAAAATTTCTTTTTTTATCCTTTAAGTGTTTTTTTTAATTGCAGATGGTAAAGTCTGTTTTGTGCTTCAGCCTTGATGAGCAGGAAAAAAAAAAGGAAATCCTGTGACCATGAATTAATTTCAGGACCAGCTTTAAGGTTATCTCTGCATCTTTGGGCTCATCACTGTTGATTGGAGAGACAACCTGTGATGGGTGCCATGGCAACACCGCTGCTACGACACGCTGGGATGTGTCTGGTCGCTTTGGTAACAGCAGTCGCCTTGATGCTGGGTGAACTGGAGGTAAACATTGCCTGATGTTCGTATCTGCAGAAACCTGACATGGAGTAATATTCACACAGCCACAGGAGTTTGTGACAACAACCTCCGAGTCACTGAAACGGTTTTCATTTCTCTCAATGTATTTTCGAGAATGTGGCATGAGGCATTTTCTGCACCTCTAACTTATAGATACACTGAAGCATAACGTCGAAATCTTGCCTCAATCTCCCTGCTGGAGGTCAAAAAGCTGCTCGCTAACGATGATTAGCATTGGTTTTAGCTATAAAGTTCTCAATATATCACTCTAAATCTTAAATCTGCGAATGACAAATAAAAAAAAAGGGACGTAGTTCTTTGCTACTATTTGTCAACACTACAACAACTAAATAACAAGGTGAGGATAATGTTTTACTTAAAACCAAGGAAGAGAGAAGCAGGTCAGTTATGCTAGCTTGACTTTGACAAACTCAACATCTAGAGCTGCTGCAGAATTTGGTGTATTTCGGTTCAAGTTACAAAAAAATAAGGATATCCACACACCAGTAGAGCAGGTGTTTAAGTTAGCTAACAGAAAAATAGCTAATCTACCGCAGCATTAGCTTAGCTAATAGCATCGGTAGCTAATACCATAGGTAGCTAATCTACCACTGCAATCACTTATTAACAATCAGAAAATAATCATCAGACCTGAAAACAAAAACTAACAAACTAAATGTTCTGTTCTTTGCGTAGAAAATGTTTTTTGATGATAAATCCTGATACATTTAATGCTGTTGCTGTATGTTGCCATGGCAACGAGTCTGTGTGTGGAGTAGCCTGCACAGAGGGTGAGAAAAAGGAAATACTAGTGGTTTTGAGTTGTTCTTCAACAGTTTTTCTCTGTTATTTTTCCCTTTGCTGTGACAAACTGCACTAAACCAATAAAACCAACATTTCCAGGTCTCATTTGATTAAAAACTGGCTACGGATTGGCATGTAAAACAATCGTCTTTTCACTCCCCAGAGTTGTGTGCATGCGCCAAATCTCTGGATGTAAACAATAACATGGAACGTGCCTATGCTGAAGCCTCCTTCGTATATATCCTGATCAATTAAAACCGGTCGTCATTTCAGGGTCATGAGTGTGTCTCACATTTGGAGAAACCTACAGTAGTGCGGCTTTTACTTGAGGTATTGACTCCCGGTACAACTTTCACTAAGAGAGGGAAAACTTTGGAGTCCTGTTTGTGCTTCAGTCATACTGCACAGCAGAAACACCAGTTAAAAAGATCCATGACTTAGTCACAGACGTGGCACAGCAGAAACAGCAGCCACTGTTTATGGAAGCAGTAATGGACGCCACGTCAATGGGTCGATTTTAAAGTTGTTGAGTAATGGGAGCTGACAGGATCATCACAAGGTCATAACGAGACGAAGGAAGCTAATAAAAGGAAAGCACAACTAATACCAACAACTTTTAGTGGAGCAATTTCTGTAGAGGAGTCTGGGTGTGGAGTGAGAAGGAGATGCAATGTGACGCAAACTTCTTTCATAATTTCAGAATGTTGAGGAACAGCTTCGAGTTGGAGACTCGGCTCGAGTGGGGACCAAAACGGTAACATTTGTTACATGTTCAGCTGCTGAGGTTCGTTTTCACTTTTGCACCGAGTCAAACAAACTAAACTCTTTGAAAAACCTGTTCTCCTCCTCGCCTGTGGGGGCGCTGCACCAAGAGCCACTGGAGGAAACCACACAAAAATCTCTGAAGAAGACACTGAGCACAACTTCCTTCTACACAAAATGTAAACAAAAATGGAGTAGCATCAGACTTTAGTGGTTGTAGGATTTCTCTTTTATTAGACATTTCTCCTGCTAGCGCTAGGCTAGCACGTTTCTTTTGGCTGTATTTACCCAGAATGCCCTGCGTTGCATTCCACTTCCTGCTTTTGGAGCAGTCTGTGGTCCACTTTGCGTTCATAAATTAATTCAAACCGAACCAGAGTTCACTTCAACCGGACCGAGACCGAGGATTGCAAGCGAACCAGCGTAACCAGACTTTCTAGAGTAACGAACCAGAATTCGATTAAAGTGGACCAAACAGGTCTGGTGTGAATGCGACCTGAATGATCAATGAAATAATTGGTGGTTATCGGATAAAACGTGACATGACTATTCTGACTGCTGACACTTTGGATTAACATTAACCCTTTAAACAAAAGCTGTCATTGGTCAGATTATCATTATAACATAACATAAATATGTTATAATAATAACATTATTATTTATGTTATAAATAATAAAACTGTAGATTTTTGACTAAATAAATAATAATAAAACTGTAGATTTTTGACTAAATAACCATTAAAAACCACTTTAAGGATAAAGATTATTCTGTTATGTTTGTGTTAGTCACACAAACAACAAAATGCTATTTTTAAAAAGAGTCTCAGTAAAGAAAGCAAAACTTTGGAACAAAAGAAAATCCTTGTGTTCAATCTTTTGGCTGACTTCACAGAGATATGAGTGTTATCCACAGCCAGAGGTTCAGAAAGACATCATCCTGAAGCCACACGCCCTGCGAGGATCTGTGCTGCCACAGACGACTATGACAGCATGAAGAAAAACAAAAGCAGCCATTTTTCTATCCCCACTTAGTAAAATATTTTCTTTACTTTGATAAAAACGATCTCTGACCAAGAGGAAAACTCCTTTCAACACCATTTTAAACAAAAATTCTACAAAAAAGACTTTCTTAAATACTCTTTTGCTGTTGCAAGAAGACACACTACAGTCTTTAAGTAATATAAGGAAGTAGAATCTGCTGAGTCACCAGTTGCTATGGTGATGAAGGGAAAGGTGCCTGAACGATGAAGTAAACTATTTGAAACAAATGTTTATGTCCTTGTTTTTTCCACTCAATGAAATCTGATCACTCTATAAACATTAGACATAAATGCTGAAAAATTATCGTGATCTTCCAAATTTTCAACCTGTTTTAAAAAAAGCAAAATAAAGGAATACACTACCTATGAAATGTAGTTGCTTTTCCTCGTGAGTCACAATGTCTCCATGTATTTCTTGCAGCGTTTTTTAACGCAACAGCAGAAGTCAAAATCAAAAATGCAATAACAGCAAGCCAAAGAGAGAGTGCCGTTTAACGCTGTGAAGTTTTTTCAGACTTGCTAAATGAATAAACCATGAGTCAGCATTTTCTCGGGCGTTTAACGGCGTACCTGTGATGGTGATCTTGGCAGACCATTTGGAGGTGCCGTCCAGCACACTCTGCTTGATGCTCTTCATGTGTTGAGCATGAATCATCTTAGAAATGACAAACACTTTCCGGATCTCCTCGAAGATCTCAGGCTTGTTTCTCTCGCGGATCTTCATCCGGTCCTTCATAGCCATGATGATGTGCTGCGTCCGATCTTCTGCCCCCGTCTTTGAACTTTTCTCCGCTGCTCCTAAAGGCACAGAAACCAGTTACTTCAACACATCCTCGTACGTTAATATTACTGTCATTATGAGCCATATTTTCTCATAAGTTGTGTGGAACTCACAGTGTTCTGCTTCGTCAGCACAGGGTATGCTACTTGTCAAATTAAATTTAGATTTTACTTATTTTTTATAATCAACAAAAACTGAACATCTCTAAATCAAATTTAAATGTTCTACAAAATAATTTCTTTTAAAAAAATCTGCAACTAGGGAATGCTCTCACTTTCACTTTCAACCAAACGGCATTAGTGAATTTTCATCAGCGCAGACAAGGTGTTGGCATAAAGTCGCATGAGATTAATTATTGGGTGATTGCTGCAGGTACAGTACATAAAAAAGCAATGTCTTCCCACACTATTAAAATGTGCGGCAAGTATTCAATAGCAGGATGTGGCTTCAGATATTTAGTTTTATTCAAAATTAATGACACCTTGAAACATTTCCATATCTTTTAGTAACTCAACTTACTTTGCAGGCAGTCAGCGTTCAGCAGCTCCTGGCATTTCTCATGAACTTTGACCCCACACTCTGCGCAGCGCATGCCCTGCCGAGCGATGCCCCACAGCAGACCCTCGCACTCGTAGCAGTAGGTAGGCGTGGTGGCGGTCCACACCTCGAAATTGTGCGGCGTGGTGCAGGAGATGGGGTAGATCAGAGCCTGCAGAGTCTTCTTGTAGACGTGGTTTTTCTGTGCAAGCAGGAGGAAAGAAAAAGTGACAAACAGTTTGATCAGAAACAACAACCCTTACTTTATTGACACTAGCTGCGTTGCCACTACAAATGTGTGCAAACTTTGTTGAAAAAACACATTTTCCCAATTGCTGCGTTTTTGTTAAATAAGAAACGTAATTAAAATCACACGTGAATACATTTGGTTAAATCATTTTAAAAATGCAGTGTCATCATCCTCCAACTACTTCCTGTCTCCGTCGTCTTCCTGGTTTGCGCCAGTGGCAACCATCGGTTGTTGATCATGTGATTTGTGTGATGAAAAAATTGTTCCCATCGCAGTTTTGCAAAATAAACCAAATAACCACTTGATCCTAGTGCGAAAATGTCTTATTATTTAAAAACAAGTTTTTTTAAAAACTGGCAAACGTCCTTGGTTTATGGAAACGCATCTTACGAAATGGAGGGAAAATGTTACATGGTTTAGAATTAAAAACCTCAAAAATGTGCAATTCTTCAGATAACTCTTAACCAAACTCATGAAATCTCCCAAAAATGTGGTGAAATTTGGGGTCGTAACATGAAAATCTTCAGAAAATCTTGCATGGTGCTGTACAGTATTGTGTAAATTCCTTGGGGAAATCTTTAGGAACCACGAGTTCAGTCCAATCAGCAGGACAACTCCTTTAACCATGGAGCAAACGTGGTTGAAATCCTTATTTTCTCCTGTTATCTTCATCAAAAGCAAACAGCTGTCATTGCTCTGCATCAAAATGGCGACAAATGAAGAGAAAGAAGAGTGTTGTGCACCACTAAGGACCTCAAAAGGTGAAAGGTCAGCTGCAGAGATGAAGGTTCAATGATCCGAGAGTTTCAGTCTCCCACTGAGAAATGTGCTAATGGGAGCAGAGAATGCTGAGCACCGGCAGCAGGTGGTTGTTAGCGCCTCTGCACACACAGCAAGATGAAGACTTCTGGACAACAGCGTCACAGAAAGACGAACAGAAAGAAGACGCTTCTGTCCCGAAAAATATGGAGGACGACATCCTGCTGCTGACAGTTTTGAACTAGAAAGTCATTTGTCCTGAGAAGAAAAGGTTAAAATCCACCATGAGTTATGGATGGTGTCAATAGTTAAGATCCCTGATGAAATTAAGGTGTTTGGACGCGTCTTATCCCAGAGGACTGGCTGTTTTCTCCCTGACTGATCAGAAACCTGCTGAATAAAGAGCAGAAAAATCCACAGAAATCTGATGATTATCTCTGGCTTTTCCAGCTGTGTTTCCATTAAAATTGTTATGCAAATTTTAAAGGTTTTATGCTTCCCTGAACAAGTTAGGATAGGTTTATGGTTTGTCCAAAACATGTTTGTTACATTTTTTCCACAAAATCATTCTTAGATAATAAGATTTTAGTTTGATCTTTTCAGAATGAACTACGTTAGGGCCTCCTGTCACTTTAAATCCAACAAGCTGCTGCTGGCCACGCCCCCAACTCAACGTTTACACTCGCATGTGAAAATGGTTGCAAACAGAAGTGCAATAAGACAACTGTACATGTTTGAAAAGCAGAAGTGGAGCCTCCTGCACAACCAACAAGAAAGCAGCAAGTAGTATGTAGATGGCAAGTCAACAGCAAAAAACTTGGTTTTACCGCAGTATGCGGTGACCAAACGCTGCCAAGTAACAGGCTGAACCTGTTAGAGTTTCATGCCTCTGGAAAGGTACAATGGATGGGAAAATTTATTGCATCAGATCTTATTTAGTAAATTTATTTCCATCTTCCCTTTGGCAAATTAACTCTTTTCTTGAAAAACCACTTGAAGGAAGCATGAAACCTTTATCATGAAATTCAGAAAGTTAATTTAAACTAAGAGAGTTAAACTCTGGGTTTTCTGTCCCATATTTTGTTCTTCTCAGCTGATTTCCTTATTTTTGCTCACCATGAACAGGATTAATTATTTACTGAAATGAAGATTTGAAACTAAGGTTATTAAAGTAAGAAAAAGTCTATATTTACCATTAACAAGGACTAGAGGATGAAAAGATGCTCTTTTATCTCATTTTTATTCCCAGTATTCCCAGTTTCACTTTGCAACTCTTCTCCACTAGATTGTTTTCTCCTACATGCCGTAGAGTAACCTACTTTGTGCACCTGAATTATTAATGTTTCTTCCAATGTAAAATGTAATCATCATTATAAATTGACAAATTACAGCGCTGTCAGCACAAAGCAAACCATGGAGGCACACTTCGGATCCATAACGCTGACTCAGCAAAACTGAATTCTCACAATCATTTCCAACAAATGATGAACAGCTTGGTTACAGGAGACACAGACATAATGAAAAACTGAGCAGAAACTAATCACACAGCGTTTAAACGAGATAAATAAGATAAACTACTCACAAGCTCTTCATCTTTTAGGGAGGTCCGAGTGGCCAGAGTGTAGTTCAGTCTGGCCTTGCTGGACTGAATCATGGACTGGAAACAAGAGAAAAGTGAGAAATCAGAAATTTACAGCGACACACAGTCAAACACTGTCAAGATTAAAGTAATTATTTGAAGAAAATCTTGTTTTGATGATTGATTCTTTTAAGTTTGAAGGTGAAATTGCAAAAACATACAATAGACCATTTCCTTTTTGTCTTCCAGTTTTTCCTTTAACAAAAACATTTCAGGGTTTATTCAGGTTCCACAAACTTTAAGACTTTTTAAGACCTTTTTGAATAACATTTAAGACCTATAATCATGGCAAAGACATACAAGAGAAATGCAGAGGATCAAAACTGTGAAATTTTTGGTGTCTTTTCTCATATAATCAAAATGGCGTATAGCACTCCAGCTAACTGGCAATGTAGCTATATGCTAGCTGCTAATAACTTCTTTGTCATTAGAAAGTCACTAATAAGCTAGATAGCTTTTTAACTGTTGGTTAGGTAGTTAGGTACCTAGCAAGCAAGTATTAGCATCTTTTTAAGACGCATGATTAACATATTTAAGGCCAACTTGCATTTCCTTTAATGAATTTAAGACTTATTAAGGCCAGAAGTTTAGATGAATGAATGTAAGATTTTCTAGGGATGTGTGGACAACCTGCATTTTCTTCCCTAAAATGTTTGACACAGTTCTCAAGGTTTTCCCTACAATTTAAAAATAGGACTAATTAAGTAAAACATCTAAATGAGCTAGCAAACTTTAACAGGTGCAAACGAATAAAAATATTACAGGAGTCGTATTACTTAGGTTAATATTCGTTAACCTTTTGATGTGCAGTGGGTTTGGAGCGGATCTTAGGAACTTTTCTTTATAAATCTTTAAGCAACATGAATGAAAGCTCAAAAGCAGTTTTTGATGCTGCAACGACTCTTTGATGCTGCGTCACACCTGTGAAACGCCTCAGACATTTTAAACCCAACAGCACAAGCTGTCAGAAACCATTAAAACAAGCTGCCTCATGGGTTCGTAATGCATTTCTTCTACTGGAATAAACATATTATACAATAATGAAGCAGAATCAATAGGTGGAGAGACTTAAGTTGAGGTTAAACGTGTCATTTTCTATTTTAACAGTTGTGAATACACCACGGAGATAACTGTATTTTACTGCTGTAACATAATCTAAAACAGAAAAAATGCTAAGTCCAACTTTTAAACTCAAATGCCTTGTTTTTAAATTAATTTAAGACATTTTAAGGCCCAAATTTTATACATAACCTTCCAGTATAAGCCCCTTCTTTTATCTTTTTCCTACAATTTTCAGAAAGTCAAATATGTAATAGCATTCGGTTTTGTGCTACTGATGTTAATTAAAACATTTACATGTAAAACAAGCAGAGGGCCTTTTGCTTTTCTGTCAGTCCAGTTCAGTTTGAGAACACAAGAAAAACAACAACCTTACAGCTGATTTTATTTTGTGTTTGCTTATGGGTCTGCATGCTGGTACAAAATACGATTTCACCACTAGCAGACTGAATTTCAAACCAAACCCATCAAACCTGCAGACTAAAGCAAATACAATCTCACTGGTCTTTTACTCACCATGGCCTGAGCGGTGACAATCACAGAGAGGGAACGTGAGCAAAGAGAGGAAGGACAGAGAGCATAGAGTCAGATCCTTATATGCGTTAGACTTGACAATTATTTTATTCACTTTTGATTTCAAACACAAAATATCAGCCTGAATATTTTTTTTCATCTGTATGAAAAAAGAAACAAACAAACAATCTCCACAAACATTAATTTATAGTGAGCAGACATTCGACTTCCATGATGTCTAATAAATCCTGACACTGTTAATGTGAAAGTGCATTTTTTATTAATTTTTCCTGTATCTTCTCTAAAAGGATCAATCTCTTTACTTGGCTGCATTATTTTAAGTGTGTAAATGTCAAAACATATTGACTCAGCATAACATTCATTCTGCAAAGCCTGTATTTGTGCTATATGGCTCCCTAATTAGAGAAACCTGCTACATATTAGACGCTGTTGTCATCCACTTACATTGACTAAGGTCACTAAAAAAAGTGTTTTATGAAATTAAACATCGATCTCATGCATGAGTGGAGGTATAGTTTGCAGATATTTACAGTTGGTTGCTAAGAAACCTTCTTCTTACTTTGCACCACTTGGTGAGGGTATAAACACCCCAACAGGAATCATTGTTTCATTGTGACAAAATGACTACTTGATTGGTGTTAAAATAAAAATATAAAATAATAAAAATGTCCTTGTTTTATTTTAATACAGGAATTGCTTGGTTCATGTAAGAAGATAATTTTCTGGTCCTTTTTTACAAATTTACATCTTCTCACTTAATGTTGAAATAAATTATTCTCTTTGATGGCTTCGTGAAAAACAAGCCACAGTATAAATAATTTAATTTAGATTCAATATCAAGATGTTTCACCAGTAATACAAAAACTAAAATTAACTTCAAGTTGTTTACCAGAAAGAGGTTGAAAACATGTTGTTGTCTCTCTTTTTCAACAGTAATTTTTCTTTGCTTAGTACATCTCCAAATATAAATTTAATCAGTGGAGTTTTGACTTAGTGCAGTGAATTTCAAAACTGTCAAAGGAAGCTATAAAAAGCATTGATGGGGTAACTCACCAGTTCACTAACAAGAGGGATAGGCCTCTTCTTGCGGAGGTCTGGCATGCTGTCGATGCCAAATGGTGTGTTTGCCCTTCAGCGGATAAATAAATAACAGAAAAAATACATAAAAACAGAATAAACTTTGTACCGTTCACTAAAGCAAGCACACATAAAGCTTTACAGACCCTGGCTTGGCCCACGGCTGCTTGCTGGGGTCACCGTCTTGCGTTTGGCTCTGAAATAGGAGGTCATAGGTCATGCATTAATTAAGTTAAAAGCGAAAGTTTGATTGAAGGAGAAAGGAGCATGCAAATGCAAAAGTTTAAAATAAAAAGGAAAGTGAATAGAAAATAACAAGAGGGAAATGCTGAGACTAAAGTGTGTTGGTTGAGTTTCAGTTCTGCATGCCAAACACCTTTCAATCAATCATTTTTATTGATTTGTGAATATTTACATTGAGGGAGTTGATAAAAATAAGATTTCTATAGAGTATCCTATTATGGACAACATTGTGTCCATCAATGCTACTTTTAAAAATCAAGTAGGTATAATTATGGGCTTTACAGGATCAGCATAAACATAGCCACAGCAGAAAATGAACCACAGAACAAGAAGATAATGTTAAGACGGTTGGTTTTAAGGTGACCTGATCTCCATCTTGACTTCCATCTGTAAAACAGCGAGACAGAAACACACAGAAGAGACAAAAACGGTCATTGACCGGCTTGATTCATTGTGTAAAAACAACAGCGTTACAGTTTAAAAGCGACACCAACACTGAGTTTTCCGACAGATGGGGTCTGAGGTCATAAATGTTTCATTAATTCATCATGAAAATGACTCCTAATAATTTCCTCGATCCCCGGTCTTTAATGTCCGACTTGCTTTCTGAGGAGATAATTAATGTTTTCTAATTCTGCAAATGGATTGTGCTGACGCCTTGGAGAGGAGCGAGGGAGTCCTGAGTGTCAGCTGATGCATTACTCACAAGTGGGTAGAAATTATCATTCCAGAATAGACCACGGTGCAATAAAATACCCCGGGGAACTTTAGATAAAAAGCAATAGCTGCCAATCTCTAAATGGGTACCAGAGCCCTTTATCTGGGAAAATCACACTAACAGAAATGATCAAAGACCTGGTGTCAAAAAAGGTCAATCAATGACCTATCAGAGCCGCAGACAGATAGCATTATATACATGTACAGCACTGTTCAAAAAGTTTTAAAATGACCCTATTTTCTTTGTTTTTCACCTCCTAATAGAAAAAGTTTCTGGTAATCGTTTAAAGTGGCTTTGATCGATAGATTGCTAAGCTTCAGTCCATTCCTGACCCTTTTCAGAGATTTCTCTTTATTGTTAAAGCCAATTAACCCCGACCTAAGAGGCATCCAGGCTTTAAAATGCTTCTATAGATAAACCTATTTTTGTAAGAAGTAACTCTCAGCTACAGTTTAAATGTGGTAGATAGTTTCATCTGTCCTTCACTTGACCAGTGGACAAGATTCTGTCCTGATGGGGCGTAAAAACTGAAGATGAAATGTAAACAGGCAATCAAAAACTTTAAAAGATTAAACAAAACCACAAAAAATATTGCTAAAGAGTTGTAAACTCCTGCTGTAGGTCATATGACTGAGACACCGAGATGCTAAAGATCACGGAGTGGTGGGGCAATTTCACACTTTCCTAGTTTCCCTGGTTAAAAAAACTTACTATAAAGAGGGTAAATACAGCTCAGTTGTTAGCAATCAAAAAGACAGGATGACCAGAGGTTGAAACAATGGCTACCTTGGTCCATTTCCTCCTGGGAGAAGGTGGACATGGTCATACTGACAAGGTTGCGTCTGGTCTCCCTCTTCTCCCGTAGAATCTGCTGAAAACTCCTCAGACACTTCAACTTGCGTTCATCAATCTGGGTAACTTCTGCTGATGACTCTGCTGCGTCTCGCTCTGGTTTGACCTCTGAGCCTCCAGAAATGTCAGCTGCAGGCTGCTGTGGTTCCTCCAGTGCTGCAGGTTCATCAGCCTGGATTGAGGCTGGAAAGGACTCTGCAGTGATGTACAGGGAAAGCCGATCCTTATCACTAACATCTGATGGGCCTTTCGAAATCTTTTCACCTAAGCTATCTCCAGGTAGGTCTGTAAGGCCTTTGACTAATGAATCAGGATCTACAGATGGTTCTTCAAAACTTGGTGGGATCTTGTTCCAATAAGGAGGACTTTGGCAAGTCTTTAAGGGCTCCAGTGAAAGGCTTTCGCTGGTTTTCACATCTAAAGGCTCCACTGAAAAGTTATTAGTCTTTTGAGTAGTACTATTTTTGGACAGAATATCAAAAGCATGAGCAGAAGTAACATCTTCATGGAATTGGTAAGAAGTCTGTTCCAAATATTCCTCGTAGGACCTGTTTAAAGGACACTCATCAGAAGGCATTGATAGTTCAAAGTCTCCAGGATTTACCTCAACAGGTCCTTCAAGTTTGCGTAGTGCACCCCGCAAAGCAGACCTGAAATCAAGAACAGCTCGCCCCAAGCGTTTGACGGTTAAACCTCCAGCTGGGACATCTGCAGTACCGGAATCAGAGAGTCGGTTTTCCCAGCTTCGACTGCTGTAAGGTCTTACAACGCTGTCTCCAGAGGCACCTGAGAGTCCCTCTGTCCAGGTCATAGCAGAAGTCTCTTCGTAGCTTAAATAGGCTTCGGTCTCACTGTTTGTTGTGAAGGTCAGCTCATTTGTTTGATCAAACTCAAATTCCTCTGCTTCACCATCATGCACCTCAATCGAATGGTAACCTGAACTTTGGGGGTAGGACAAATCAGTAGAATATTCATACCCAATGGACGAGCTTCCAATGCTGTTAGCAGCTGGATCGTGACTCCTGGGCTGACTCTGAGGCCGTCTCAACCGTGACTGCCGTTCCTTCCTGCTTGAAGTGCTGGCAGGTGAATTGTAATGCTTTCCAGAGCTAACAGAGAGAGGATCTGAGCTTCCTGTGGATGACTGTAAAGATGAGCCATATCCTCCTGCTCTTCTGTAGTGACCCCAGTGTCCAGCTCCTTCACAGTAGTGAGAACTCTTTCTGGAATTGTCCTCTACAGCCCTATCCCTGAGGTAAATGCTATCCTTATGCCACTTTGACTCCCTACTGTGTGGGGGTATAGTGTTAGCCCATTCTCTCTCATCACCAGCTCTGTGCTCCTTTCTTTCAAGACTAGATAACTGCCCTGGTAAGTCATACTCAGACTTTGAACTATGGCCAGAAGACAAAGAGCTTGTGCTGGGAAAATCTTGGCAGTTTCCATGGTCAAGCAAGCTTAAGCTAAGATTTCTTGCTGTTGCACCTTCTGGTATATCTGAACTATGATCAGAAGTATCGTCGGCGTCCTCCAGTTCCTGATGATCAGCTGTTGAAACAATTTGCGACACCTTAGGCCCTTCTGGCCTTGCTGGCAGTTGGACCCCATGTATACTATGGTGCTCATAACCTGGCTGAACACAGTCCAGATCTGACTTTGCTACTGGGCTCCCTAAGCTACCATAAGCACTGACTGGCCGCCTACGTGTGGCTGATCCATCTTTGCTTCCTGACCATGTACTTGTACCGCCTTTGTTGCTAGAACGAATGCCTTCGATTTCCAATAAAACAGCATCTACACATGAGGATACCTCCTCAACTGAGCCCCGCACTGAGCTCAGGTAATCCCTGAGGTCTGAGATTTCCTCTTGGATCTTGTTGATGCCCCTTAGCTCCTTCAGAATATGGTCAATGATGGCACTTGACGTCTCTTCTCTATCTTCATCATCTTCCAGAAGTGTGTTTGGTAAAGCTCTGTTGAAGTTGTAGTCCAAACAGTCACCAGCAGAATATGGTCTTTTGGGCCGAATGCGAGGGGAAGTAAATTCTCGTGTTCCTGATGCAAACTTTGTCCCGTTCATGTCTGGGCTGACTGGACTGTAAAGTGGGATTGGTTGGATGTCCTCTGGAGGTTCCCGGAGTCCACTCTCGAAGGATATACGTTTTTGGCTTCCTTGGGATCTGGAGCTTTTATGTTGTAAAGTGCAAGGTATTCTAATGCAACCCTCTCTGTTCAGCTCCACTTCTCCCACGCATGGAGGCCCTGATACCACCGCATGTCGTTTGATGATTGAAGCTTTTGGGGGGAAGGCTTCAGCCCTCGGGGTAACCTTCGGATACATGCTTTGGAGCTCTTTTGGACTGTCAGGTGCCTCCGCCTCCTCTTCCTCCTGATTAGTGCCCGGATAATAGAGGTGGGATTCGGGGACATGGTGGTCTGCAGACCCTTGCAAAAGACGATGAATTTTGCCACGGATAACCAGTGCTACTTTGGGATTTGGAGCTCTCTTTTTAGGTGGGTGAGTTTTGGATTTTGCCCCACCTTTAGGAGAAACTCCTGCTCCATGTTGTCCATTGAAGCGATTTCTGGAGAACATTTTCTCATGAAAGCAAATTATATTCACCTAGTCTCCCACATTGTTGGTGGGAGATGTAGTCAAAGTTCTTGCAGTACCATAGTTCAATATTAAAATGTTTCCAAATAGCTAAAAACCAAATGTCAGCAGTCCATAGCTATAGAGAAAAGAGAGAGAGAATAAAACATTATCCAGGTCACTTTATTACTTTGACAACACCTGAGGTTTAAATTGCTTGTTTAAATTGCTCTTGGAATTTATTTATCAAGTAAATAAATTCCAACTAAGATGTAATTTGTCAAGCTAATAAGTTTAAAAAGCATTCAAAGTACTGAAAAAATGCAGATATTTTGCAGCTTTTACTTGGGTTTGTCCATTTGTTTTGTGTTTTATTTACAACACATTTCCCATCTTTGCCATAAAAACAAAAAGCTACTTCCTAATATATTGATGTAGGTTTTAATGAGTAACTGGCCCTGCTCTCCTTTTGCTTCAATGCTTGGGTTGTTAACACATACCATAGTCTGAGTTGTTGTGGTCTCATGTCTCAAAGTGTAAATGTTTGTAAAACCATCCAGAGAGAAAATCAAGTAAAGGTTGGAAAGACAAAAACGATCCTTGATTTGTAACTCTGATAGTTTTGTGTTCAGGACTGAATAAGCCTTCAGGATGAGCGATGAAATCCCCGGTTACCTTCCATTTAAGCACTAAGGATTGTACTTTAACGTTAAATAACATTACAACATGTAAAGGTCGGGCTATAAACCATCTCCAGGTTGAATCGACCTCTTAGAGCTCAGTGACCACA